CCATAGCACCTTCTTGAGAGATAACAGTACCTCTGATCCATCTTTCCTTCTTCCATGCCTTTGAAGCAATAGCATTAGCATTGACAGGGGAACTCCAAACGAAAACCTTGTCACCTGGTTTGTAAGGTCCATCTGATGGCATTGTTCGTTTGGCCATGTCATGTCTGAGGTCAGCAGCTTGTCTGGCTTCCTGATGTGCCCTCAGTGCTAACCTTTGCAACTCGAGTTGTGTTCTGTCTTCAGGTAAAGGGTCAACACTAAGTTGAGCAGGATCAGAAGTCTCAATATCCAGAAGATCTGGTGGTCTTCTACCAGTGGCAATTTCCAAAGGAGAATAACCACTAACAGTGAGTTGAGTGTTTCTGGCCCAAACAGTACGCTTCACAGCTTCTCTGATGGTGATTCCCTTGAACCTATCATCTTCAAGGTTCTTGGACATGATTTGCCATTGTCGTTTGAAAAGTCTAACAGCTGATTCAGCTCTGTTAGGCCATGGGGTTCTTGAACCACAGGGACATTCCTTGATACCATGAGTTCGGTAATAAGTCAGAAAGTCTTCTTGAAAGAAAGCTTCATCACCTACAATGGCTTTAGGCATACAATTGTGTTCATCACTCCACAACCTTAGAGCCTGAATGGTCTCCTTGTTGTTCAGTGAGTTTTGTGCCGTAGCCCAAAGTAAGTTGGTTGCACCATCAAGAACAAGCAACACCATGTACTTGTTCTTCCTCAACTGAATTTCAGCATGATCAACAAAGATAACATCTCCAAAGTTGGTGGATCGTATGCCTGAAATTCTGGCTCGCGGCGGTGGTGCAATGGAAGTACTACACACACGACACTTGTTGTACATCTCCTCATACTTCTGATAGACAGAGTCAGGAAGTCCTAACATGGAAGTCCTTCGTCTGAATTGAGTAGGAGACATGTGATAGTGTTTGATATGAAGCTTGTAAAGTTCCACACTATCCTCCAGTTTCCTGAGCATCTTTCTGTATGCTGGTGTCATGGCTTGCACTTCACTACCAGGCAGTGGAATCGAAACTCGCCTAGGCTCAAGAGCATCACTACCTAGTTTCTCAACTTGACTTTCTGAATCTTGCTTACCACGGTTGCGCGCAGGTGCAGAATGTTTTGGTTCAATGACTTGAGGTTCATCTGAATCAATTTTGTCCAAACCTAACTCCCTAGCTACCTTATCAAGCTCATCTTCTTCATCAAGCTTGGGATAGGAGACAACAACCTTCTTTCTTGATGAACCTGATTGAGAGTCATCGACAACCTGAGGTTTCTGCTTACCTACGTGTCTTTTGGCTGCAGGTGGACCTACCTCAATCTTTTTCGAGCCTGGTCCATTTGAAATCGGTTTGCCTTCCTCCTTCTTTAAGGAGCTTGGCTTCTTCTTCTGTACACCTGATGGCACTGAAGAGGCTGACTCAGGGTGAAAAAGATCATCAATGTTTCCACGAAAGGGCTTTGCACGATCAATGTCACTTCTGACAATGTCATCTGGGATCACGTAGTCCTCCTTGATCTTGTAGATGGTCTTGCCCTTCCAGAACTCTTCACTCTGTTCAGAAAACCTCTTCTTCTCAGTGCGCCAGTTGTCCTTGTGAAGAACCTTCTTCTTGCTCTTCTGGAATTCCATGTGGGTTTCTCTCTCATCAAGAAGTTGATCTTTTGGAATTGGAGTTTTCTCTGATCGAGTCATCTCATGTAAGTTCATTCTCTTGTCCTTGTGGTGCCTGATGAGTTCACGACGTAGTGGATCAACCTGCCAGTAGTCACCAGTCACCAAAGCTTCTCCTTCATGATCATCTTGTTTGACAGCAATCTGGCTGTACTCAAAGTGATTGTGTTGTGAATAGAAACTTTTGACTTGTGGAGTCTTGGAATGAACTTGGCTCATGTACCATGCTACATCTTGTAGGTCGAGAATGAGATGAGTACTAATGGCTGTCCTCAAAACCATTTTTCTCATGCCAATACGTGCACAGGACAAATAAGCCTTCTCTGGAGTAAGTTCAAATTGAAATCCAAGGTTTCTCATCTGTGGAAGTGACATCAACAATGGGACATCACCTTCTTCGACAATGTCGAATTCTGTAAACTGAGTGTTCCATCCATGCTCATACATGAATATCACGAGCTTCTCAGTACATTTTGATTGTTGTGAGTTTGCAAAGAAGAATCTTGAACTTGTTGGCTGAATTTCATACCAGAGTCCACTGTTGGGATGTGAGTCAACATATCTGCAAAATGCTTCAACTGCTCGTCGAGAGCCCATAGCTCTTGTGCATCCAAGATCCAGAATACACACAGTTGGTGGTGCAGAATTCTCTGTGTGAAAAGCTAGTCCATTCTCACATGCCAGATCAGTTTGTACAGTATGAAATGAAAAAGCACTCTGCTGTGATGGTTCCTCTATCTCTGTAGAGCATCCATGTGAAAACAATGATGTGCCTTCTGCCAATGGCTTCCATGAAGCCTCACCTTCTTGAAGACCAACTTGCCTGGGCACTACAGCTGGACGTTGTTGTACACCTTGTCGTAGTGCACCAACTTCTCCAACCAGAACAGGGAATCTCTTCATTTCTCTCCTGTTTTGATGTGCTCTTGCATCACGTTGGTTCTGTCCTCCACGACGAGTACGTCGTTGTTCATCTTGTGCTGCATACGTGGATGTCAAAACATCAACACGTGCTGGCTCTGTCTCTGCAACATCAACACGTGCTGGTTCAGTTGTTCCAAATGAAACGAAACCATGACCAGAACTTGAAGCTGCAGAAGAATAATGAGCTTGTTGAGTTGGCTGATTCTGTATGGCAGGAGCTGATGTGGTCTGAGGTTGAACATAGTTCGACTTGCCTTTTCCATCTCCTGGCTTTCCTCCTTTTCCATCATCATCCTTGCCTTTCTTGCCTTTCTTTCCTTTTCCTTTTCCTTTCTTCTGGAAGTATCCATACTCATCCATGTAGTACAGATCATCATAGGCCCAATAGCCTTCATTCCAGGTTTGATCATCGGCCCAATAGCCGTCATAGTTTTCATTCCATTCATCTTCTTGCCATTCATCTTCATAACCTTCTTCACTCACCATGTGAGCACGGCCTTTTCTTCTTCCTTTTCCTCGGCCTTTTCCTTTTCTTGATTTGAAGAACCTTCGTCCTCCTCTGCCTTTTCCTTTTCCTTTTCTCTTTCCTTTACCTTTGCCTCGTCTGATGTATTTGCCTTGGAACCTTCTCTGATACCATGTGAAGTTGGCGTCATCATAAACCCAGAAAACATCTTCTAAGGCATCCAGGAATCCTTCTGCGCCGTCTTCTTCATCTTCGGCCCAATAGCCGTCGGTTCCTTCTAATTCACCTTCATCCAGTACGAGGAAAGATCTTCTCTGTGCCATGCCAGAGGGTTGCATCAATGGATTGTCAACTGCTGTTTTGGTAGTGCAAAACATTTCCAAAAACAGGTCACGTAGTTCTTGAATACTGTGTCGATCGAGGGTTCGTCCACGATGTGTCATGATACTTGTGAGTGTGTTTCTCTGATCTTGACTCAGGTCAGCTAGACTTACAAAAATCAATGCTAGCAAATTTTCACCCAGTGGGAATGCTTGTCGCTGTGCTTCTCTACGATTTTCCTGAAATTGTCTGAATGCCGCTAGTGCCAGTTCATCTGTCCAAGGAACAGCTACATGGGGTGTTCCTGAGGCTGCTGCTACTTCAGCTCTCTCTTGTTGATCTCGTTCATGTTCTTGACGTCGTTGTTGAACAAACAGAATTGCTTCAGGACTAGTCACTGTTACTTCTGGAAGTAAATCCATCCAAGACTCAATAAGTCTATTGCCAGTGAGTTGAAATCTAGTCATCCACTTCTGAAGATCCATTGTTCCTCTGTTGAACTTCATGAACTGCATGAAACGGTATAAGAACACGTTCTGGGCACCTTTGATGAAATGAGGTCGTAGAAATCTTTTGAAATAAGCCACTCCTTCATAGGGATCCCTGAGTAATTCTCTATCCAATAGCCTCTTGTATTGTTGAGCATCTCCTTCCAGTCTGTTGCGCAATGCTGGACCACGTTTCTCTGGTTCTAACTCCGTAATGTCACACCAGTCATCAATTGCATCCTCAAAAGCAAAGAAGCTGGTTCGCCCATCATAGGCTGGAGCAACCTTTGTAGTCATCTGTTGCGTCATATGAATCTGTGTATGCTGGGGTGCTCTTCTCATTGCATAAGAGTCATATTGGTTCCATTCATTTGCATCGACAATGTCGAAGTCATCATCATCATAGCCATGGCTTGCCATTTCTTGGGCTCTACCTGGAGCTCACCCTCAATGAGGGATCACTGCTCCGCTACCACTTGAAGAGGGGCCCTAGCGTCTACTTCAAGATCAGCTAAGGCGTCTTCCCCAATGACAGCACTCTTTTACTCTCAGCCTGTTGCCGGTCAGTGCTTGTCTACAGGGTTACTCTATATACCTCTTTCTTGAGCCTTGAAGGCGCATATAAATGTGCTCAATACTCATGCATGTACCTATGTAGGTATTAGGTCGAAACAAAAACAGGGGGGGGGGGTCCCCCCCTTTCGCGTGAAAAATCACGTGATGTCCTTGAGCAGCCCCACCAATACTTGCTAAAGCAAGAAGACTCCAGCTAGCTGACGCTAGCTTTCGTGAAATCATGAAAAAATATCCCACCAATCTTTGAAATTTGGGTGCAGGTCTCTTGTCAGGGGAAATGCAATCGACCACGAAGTCACCTAAGAAGGCGCTAGAAAAAAGCAGTGCCCGTTGGGTACTGACGACCCTAGATGAGGTGCCAACGGAACCACCAAATTGGATCAAATTGGTCCAAATTGATCGGCAAATCGTGTTGATCCATTTAGAAATTGATCAACCAGCATGGTTGCTGCAAGCCACCGATTTCATCTTATTTCATCCATTCGGATCCATTAGGTGTGTTGGAATTCTTGGTACATCTTGGTATGTTCACATCTTTTCTCCATGTTCTCGCTCGCTTCGTTCGAGACCGTCCCATAGCATCCTTTGGCCAAGGATCGGGGAGCCTGTTGTGGCCTAGTGCATTAATCGGCCACGAAGAGGCTGTCGAACAAATGGGGCTCGCCCCAAAAGACCTTCATCGAAGCGATCTTGCCGTCTTTCACCTCATATTCCACTAAATTCGCCAAGGGATGCGGGGCCGTTTTCTTGGTGGCAATCACTGATGGCGTCAGAACCTCCTTCACAATCACAGTGCCATTCCCATGCAACATCTTGGTGAGATGATAGTCTGGCTGCTTGAAGGTTGACAGAAATTGGCCGAAGTCACAAATACCTTGAATTCCATGATAGACTCTGGCACCCGACACATGTGGCATTGCATCTGAGGACGCATCATAAACCACACTTTCAAGAGCCACCTCCCTAGCTGCAGCAGGGTAAGAGCTTCCTTGAAACTTTCCTTCACCAAACATGGTATACATCTTCATGATCACCTTCACGTCGCTCAGGTCGCTATCATTCTTGTCACTTACCTCTACCCAGCGGGCCACGCCCAGCATCACCAGGAAAACCAGCAGAAGTGCAATGAACCACCGCTGTTTGGGCCTCGACCCAGGGGATTCAGGGGATTCGCTGGTCAAGAGCGGCTCCATTCAGTCGTGATCGGAGACGTGTTTTCGGATCAAAGATGATCGAAGCAAAAGACGGAGAAGTCTTGAGAAAAAATCGCAGCAGAAAGTTGGCCCTGTTGCCACTTCTGAATTCTAAGATAATCTAAGCAGAAGGATTAGGAGTTGTTGCATTGTTTTGTGCATGATTTTGCGTTGTTTTGTTGCATCCCAATTGCCAATCGCTGAACCCTCAACTTTCTCATAATATCGAAACTCTCTTGTGCTTGGTGATCTAGTCTACTCGGCATGCCATGCCATGTGCTGCCTTTCAAGGACAACCAGCAGCTTCGCGGCACGCTTCAATCCCCAGGTGGAAAACATGTCAAAACCATCGGCAAGTCGCATGGCTCTGATGACCTTGTACCACTCCTCTCTTTTCCATCCATTCTCTTCTGCGTCGCCTGGACTACGCCATAGCAATAAATATTTTTTTGCCTGGTAAAAATGGGGAGGGTTCTCTGAAAATAGGGATCATTTTCCAGATCAAAATGGTTGAAAAAAATGCATGTATATATTTATATCATTTTATATCTGGTATGCAAGTTGTATATGGTTATTATATGGTTGTATACCGTCCGTATACCGTCCGTATACCCCATTGACTCTCCAAGTGAGTTCCAAAGGATCCACCGATCCATTTCCGCCGGTTCCGCCGCTGTGCGCTGAGCAGTTGGCTGCGGCAACTCTCCTCGTTGAATCCATCGCTGGTGATGAAAATCAGGCAGTTTTCGGGCGTCAGCCTTGCCAAGTACCTGAGGCGCATGGCAAGCATGGCAAGGCCCGGCCCGGTTGGCGTCAGGATTTTTTCTGGCCCTCCCCGGGGATTTTTTCCCCAATGCCGCATCAATTCCCTCGCTATTTGCAGCATGTTAAACCTCGAAGCTGCCATATTTGCAACATTTTGGAACCACTAGAAGGTAATTGCAGCATTTTGGAGCTAGAAACTGACGGTAAATCAAGCATTTTGGAGCTGGAAACTCTTATTTCTGCCGGAATCGGAATTGTTTGGAGCTAGCAGCAATCTGGGGTTGGTTCAGCTAGAAGTGTTGTTGGGGCTGCTGTGGTGTGTGCTTGGGGTTGGGTAAAGGTATCTGTATCGTGGGTTGGGTTAGTTATTCCAGGTCGGTTTAAAGTTGGTTCATAAATGGGGTTTGTGTAGCGCTTGTTCTGTTTGGCGTAAATTTAGTGTTGGTGCAATGTTTAGGGTTAGTTTGCGGTTTGGATAGGAGTCCGCTTAGTTTTAGGGTTGGTTCAAAGAGCATGGTGCTAGGGCTGCTGTAGGATTTGTTTCGGCTTGGGTGAAGGTATTTTGGAATGCATCTTATCTTTTAAGATATCTTCAAGGTTGGTTTAGGTGTGGTGTAAGGTTTCGTTTAGATTTGGTTTAAGGTTGTGTTCCAAGGCCGCTTTGAAATTGTAGATAAAATTGATTTAGGGTTTAATTTGGGTGGGCTTAGTGTTAGCTTAAAATTTACTCTGGATTTATTTAATGTTGGCGTAATGCTTATTCAACATTTTACGGGTGTTATTTCTGGTGTGCTTAGTGTTAAGATGTGTTTAAGTTTTATTCCGGTTTGGTTTAGGGTTGATTCAGGGTTGGGTCAGTGGTTTATTGCTGATTGGCTCTGGTTGGTGCAAAGTTTTATCTGAAATCGGTTCAGGGTTTGATTCGGAATTTGTCGAAAATTCCAATGGGATTTGGGTTTGTTTTGGGTTGGGTTAAACCTTTATTTGGCATTCGTTTCAAGGCTTATTTGAGCTTGGTTGAAAATTCAAAGTTGGCTTCTGGGTTGACTTTAAGGTGCGCCTGCAGTTTCCTTCGTGAGGATTTTAGGTTTTTTAAATCTATATATATATATACAGATAGTTTGCTTTAAGGTGTTCTTTCGGGCTGGATTAAGGGGTTCTTTATAATCGATTTAAATTTAAGGTTGGTTTAGGGTTGATTTGGGGTTGGTTTAAGTAAGGTTTGATTAGAGCTGGTTTGTGGACATGGAATTTGGGTTTAAATTCTTATTGAATATAGTTCGGAAATTTATTTGAGGTTGTTGAGGGTTTTGCTAAAATTGGCTGAATGGCTAATTCAAGTTGGTTTAGGGTCAATGTAGTGTCGGCGCACTTTATGTTTTAAATTGGTTTACGGTTCGGTTTAGAATTGGTTTGGGGATGGTTAGAAATCTATTTAGGGTTGATTGTGGACATTTGTGGTTTATTGAGGATTGGTTCAAGGTTTAATGAAAGTTTATTTGAGGTGGTTTCAGGTTGTATTTCAAAATTGTTGGTGCTTTACTAAGGGTCAGTTTATCTTTCTATTTCAGGTTGGTCAAGGTTTTTCTTTAGAGTTGGCTCAACATTTATTTATGGTTGATTTAAAATAGATCTAAGCTTTGGTGTTGTTTTTATGTTGATTTTTCCCTTGGGTTGGTCAAACATTGGTTTAAAGCGTTATTTACTGTTTAGTGCCAATTAGTTTGCAGTTTAAAAATCGTTTAGGGGTTGGATAAGTAAGGTTGGATTTGGGTTGCAGTTGGTGTAGAACTTTATTTAGGGTTGGTTCAGGGTTGCTTTGTTTTATTGAAAGTTGGTTTATAGTTTTTCCGAAGCGTTGGCTCTACGATTGGCTCAAAACTTTACTTGTGGTGGCTGGCTGGCTGGCTTGCTTGCCTGCATGCAAAGTGGTTGCTTGCTCTGGCTTACCTGCATGGCTGGCTTGCTTGCTTCCTTGCTTGCTTGCTGGTTGGCTGGCTGGGCTGGCTGGCTGGGCGGCCGGCCGGCCTGCCTGCCTGCTTGCTTGCTTGCTTGCTTGCCTGCTGCCTTGCTCGGTTGCTCAGTTGCTTGCTTCCTTGCCTGGCTTGCTTGCTTGCTGGCTGGCGTGCTTGCTTGGCCTGCCTGCCTGCCTGCCTGGCTTGCTTGCTTGCTTGCTTGCCTGCTGGCTTCATTGTGAAAGGATGATCAGGGAAAAAAAAATCCCCAGGGAAGGTGGAAAAAATACGTAGGAAAAATAGTGCGCCAAGGCCCGGCGGACTGGGCATGGCTCACTCGGCCACGACGTCTGCGCGCCACTCATCGAGAGCAAATGGGCCACGCAGAACCTCCATTCGACGCACGGTGCAAGTCATCCAACATCGCTGAGGAATGGTGAGTAATAGGCTAATGTCAACCCCGGATTTTGCTAAACCATGGTTTATTAATTAGGGGGGTACTCCTCCAATAGTCATAAAATGCCACTTAAATGGTACCCCCCCAATTAAACAGCCTAGAGGTTTATTAATCCGGGGTTGACATTAATAGGCGTACCCGTCCTGCATGACACTACGAAATCTCACATGTGATGCGTAGTACCCGATACTGTGCATCTGGATGCATGTTAGGGCCCATCTTTGGCTCACTATGGCTAGTGCCCAATTACATGGCCCGCCTCCTTTGCAGGATATCGGTGCATGGCCTCAGTAGAGTCGTCATCACCTCATCCCTTCTTGGCATCTGGCAACATCTGGCAGATTTGAACTGAGCCCATGGGCCATGGCGGCAGAAGCGGCGAAGTCATCTGGCATCGGAGAGTCCTCTTTGTGGGCGAAACCTTAGGCATCAGATCGAACAAGATTAGTATATTGGTCCAAATGGTATCCTGAATCCAAAATCATCAAAATCAAAATCGGCAAAGATTGGAAGATCAAAATCATCCAAAATCCATGCTGATTTACTTTGGATTGGTTATAAATGATTGGTTCAAGCCCCCAATCAGACGATTTTCTCAGCCCATGTGATCCCCTTGGATGACTTCCAGGCGGCTGATTTCTTGCAGTGCCGCCAGCTCCTGGGCAGCTGGAAACCATCTTAAACAACATCACCTTGGACATGGTCGATGGGGAAAATACCCATTTTAACAACAGAAGATATTAAACATGCTATCTTACGTTTTACAATGTTAAGAGATGGTCAAATTCCTAAGAGATGGTCGAATGCCTGCAGAACTAGTTGGAAAATTCTGTTCTTTCCGCATCTTTCCCGCCCAAAATCTCCGCTGAGGAAAAACAAATTTGGCACCTTGAAGATCTCTTCTTGCGGGCCTGCAGCCCTGATCTGCTCAACCTCATCAATTTCATCATAAAAATGCCATGATTTCATGAATCCTGGACATAATATATATATATATATTTATTATATAATAGGTATATACATCACCCCAAATCTCTGGTTGTATGTTTGCCTGCCATTTCTTCATGATTTCCCCTGTGGCCCCCCAAACAAGAACACATTCTGGGGTCACTTCAGAGGAGAGAAAAAACACAATTGATGCTTGGGTTGGTGAACTCCTACTAATTCAGGGAAATCATAGGCATTCCAGCAGCCCCTCAAGTTTTAAATGGGTTTATACACCGACCCAACCAAAGGTATGTATGTATGTCTGTCTGTCTGTCTGTATGTACGTACATACGTATGTATGTACGTACATACGTATGTACGTATGTAGGTATGTAGGTATGTAGGTATGTGGGTATGTAGGTATGTATGTATGCAAGGTAAGCTAAGGTAAGGTAAGGTAAGGTAATGCAATGTTATGTTATGTTAAGTTATGTATGTATGCATGGATGTATGTATGTGTGTGTCCACCATGAATCCTATTGTCACCCGATAGGTTTAGCTTTTGAGAGCCCATGCTTCTAGGGTCATGTTTTTCCTTAATGCTGTAGACGTAATGATAAACTACCATGTGTCTTCTTTTCCGCCCATGTGTGGCAATATTATTGGGATTTGCTCATAGTACTTCACAGTCGGGTTCACCACAACAAAGATGTCATGAAATGTCATTGAACAAGAAAAGCGTACAAATTGGCGACTACAAGTCACAAAAGTATACTATGTTATACTATGTTACTATGTATACTTAAAAGTCAACAAGCGTAAGAAACCAGGAAAGTCAAGTCAGGCCGTGAACCTCAAGTTTAACCATGCTTCACCATGGTTCACCATGGTGAAGCCACAGTCCTGAGTGTCCCACAGATTCAAAGAGCAGCGCCAAAACCTCTTCGCGGTGAAGATCGCCCTCGGGCGTCAAGGTGATGTTCACCGCGAAGAGCTGCTCCTGAGATCTGTCTCTGGCTTTCAGGGCCGATGTCATTGGATGTCGCTTCCCGATGTCTTCACAAAGCCACATAGATCCGAAAAAAGGATCATAATCAAAGGTCATTGAAAAATATTGAAAAGATGTAAGAAACATCAGCCAATGTCAACTCAAGAGGTTGTTAGAACCTTTGGCTTGTTCAAGTAGCAAATGGTCACTCTGTGGAACCCCGCTAATTCCTTGAGCCCAGGTATTGACAGTTGACGGCCCACAAGATTGACATTTTTCAGATCAAATGGGCAGAACCATAACCATACCCAGGCAGAACCATACCCAAAAAAACAAACAATGATGCCGGAACAAACTGTTTGATGGGACGTTTGTTTACCCCATCTCTCTCCCTCTCTCTCGCTTCCCATCGATTTGCCCAATTTAGGGTGCTTCATTTTGACCCGTCATATGTTCAGAAACTCCAAAAGCCACCCCATTCACCTGAGACCCCTACGTCAGTAAAAGATTGAGCAGTTCCAGCTGAGAGTTGGTCAACCCAGCTAAACCTCGTAAACACATGGCCATGGATGGCAAGTCCCCACAGCCCTTTTTTGATCTTTTTTGGAGGGGACCAGCAACGGCTTGTTGATGGGGTCGTGGCGTTAAAACGAGCCAATTTCTGTGGTAGATAACCCTTGTGATTGTGGCATGTTCACTCAAAGGACTGCAAGCCCCCAAGCTAAACCAGCAGTCATCCCTTGCAACAAAGCAGGTGTGCTAGGCCGGAGGCTGATTGAGAACATCCTTAGAGATCACGAAAAAAAACATCACAAGGGGTGCTTTCACCTCTTTTGGCGGGGTTGACCAGCATCGTCCAGTTTCTAACGAAAATTTCCAGTCACCTTTCACCCCATAGAAAGCACCAAGTGAGCACAAAAGCAGGCAAGGCGAAAAGATGAGAACCTGACGTGCAAAGAGCCTTTCCCTTCGTGACCTTGGTCATTGGGGTTGACCTTTTAGGAAATGTTGGACGGAACCACCGCAAAAACCGTGATTGGATGGATTTACTGAGCCCGTTCTGTTGCAGGGACCACCTTGTGCTTGGCAGTTGAAACTTTCTGACTTGGAACAGTGGAACACGTCAGGTCAGACATAGCCATAGCCAGGCCATCATGGCGAGCTTTGCTTCTGGCCGAGCATGTGGGCGATGTACAATTCCGGCTTTGCGAAGAGGTGCTTTTGCCTTGGAGACTCGGAGATCTCGGAGTATCTCGGAGTTGTGTTCAGCATCTTGGAGGGTCTCATGGCGTCCACCTCCAATCTTTGGAGCAAACGCTGTCATCTACCATTTTAACTTCCCTGTCACAAAGCCAAGTACAAACTGTAACAAGTTCTATCAAATCTATTCAAATCTATCAATTTGACATAATTTGACTCAGAATCACTCAGAAACTGTCAGAAACCTTCGGAAAATCTTGGCTTCGCATGCGGGCGCTTAGCTCGGAGCACGGGAGGTAGAGGCCAGTATGCTGAGATGGAACGGGCCTGGCATTACGACCCTAGCTCCCATGAGCTCATGTATAACATAATATTATATTATATATATATACCTAATATATACATATATACATATAATTACACGTCAGAAGTCGGAACTTGTCATGAAAATTAAAATTTGGATGGCTCAACATTATTCAATGCCAAACATGTCCAGCTACTTGAAGGCCACTTGGTCCTTGGTTTTTGGATATTTTTGGGCCATGCTCGCTGTATGAAGGGTCGCCATGGGTCACCCGCACCTCCTTCAACGGCACACTCTTCACAATACGCCCTGCGTGGGGACGGTCAGCACGGGAACCCGTGACAGGGACCCATGCAACCCATGCAGGACGGTGCAGTTCCACTGAGCAGCCAGCCCACTTGATCCTTTGGCCACGGCAAAGTGGGATAGCTCGGCTCCTCCGGAACGCCGGGCTCGCACCGGGCAGCGAGCTGGGTCTTTTCGCCAACTTTTTGCACCCAGCCTGGCCCTTGCCAACCCTCACTCGGCTGAAGCGGGACAGGGCCATCTTTTCCAGCTCCTCCAGTGGCTGTTGGCCTCGCATCAATGTCCCCCCCGAAAGGAACCGACCCCTTTGGAAACCGTGAAAAAACAATGGGCAAGTTTCTCGCCCTGGCGGGTATTGGATCAAATCTTTGATACCACGAAGTTTCCACCGCCAAAAGGGCTAAGGCAAAGACCCACCACTGCCAGCTTCATTGCACCAGCCTGATAGTGATTCTTGTTCCAATCCTCAGATGCAATGGGGAACCCCGCATCAAGGTCATTCCTTTTGCTTAAATCACTTAAATCCGTAGTCTTCCATTGTTCACTCCACATTTTCTGTGAGGCAGCTTCCGCATTCTTGCCCCATGTCTTGCTAGTTGTATCAAATATACATATCATACATAGTATATCATCATATATCCTATTCATTCCCCATGTGGGTATGCACCCAAAAATATGACATGGCAATGAAAATGGCCCAAATCTGTCCTCCCCGAGGCTTCCAACTGCGTCGACTGAGGGCCCCCCGCCACCAGTTGCTCACGAGTACCAGGCAAGTCCTGTGAATCTTCTGGGCGATCCCTAAGAGTAACTGCTGCGAATTTAAGAGTTTGCGAACTCGAAACAAGTTTGGAAACTCACCATTTTTCAAACGGTAAAATATGAATCATCATGCATCATCTATAAAACATTATAAAACCATCGCCAACCTGTAAGAAATGACCTGTTCAGCACCTCCGCCCCGAGGGTGTCGAGGTTTCCCACGTCAAAGCGGAAAAAGGGGTGCTCTTCCGCCGCCGTAGCCTGGAGGAAACCCTGGAGGAAACACATCGTAGGAAATCCCTAAATGGAGGTCAGACAGGGCCTGTAACACTGGAAATTCCCAAAGAATTCTGGAAAATTGATGCGAACACCTCCCATGTGGCTTTCTGGGATTTCAAAAAGAAGGTGGCAATGAACCGCAAAAAAGTGGATGTTCATTGATTGTCAGTCATCAGATCATAATCATCTCCAAGTGGAGTCACATGCTATTCCATACCAGTGTTAGTCTGGGATGGACATGTATGCTCCAAGTTATCCAAGCATGTACATCTCCAATACTTTGTAGTTACTAGCGCTTTTTCATGAGGAGAATATCAGGGGCAGTAATCTCAGTAGTGTCACCTCGTCCTACTGTCTATACTGGATGGGGGAAATGATATGAATCGTCCTATTTCGTACCATCATCCAAGACATCCAAGTGATACAGTAGATATGTGGGCGTCATGGGGGATCCCCAGTCACGAGTCGATATCCAAGCCTTGAGCACTTGCAGCAGACGCCAGCCATCCTCTGTGGAATAGTTGGTGCTCTCCGAGTCCACGGCCTCGACCGGCGCCAGAGTTATGTGATAGCCTAATGGCGAAAATACGAAAAAATGCTGCGGAAAATGTGAAAGGTTGTGGAAAACGTGACAGTTTCAAGGGGAGATCACAAAAAATCTACAGGAAACCATTGGTTTAGGAGGTCTGCAGAGGGTGCTAAATTCTCGATCCACGCAAAGCGCCTTCATTTCTCGCTCGATGCCAGATGGGTCAAAAGTTGGGCTGATGAAAAACCTGAGTGGATGTGACAACATGTCCACCTTTGTACAGCCTAGCACACACACACACAGACACACAGACACAAACCAAGCCGCATATGGTTTGTACTTCGGCCGAGCAGTGTAGGGATGATTTGTTTTTTTTGGTTCTGGGATCCTTTCCTCAAAGCCACCAGGAATCTCCAATTAGATTATTAGATATTCATGATGAGTTCATGATGTTCATGGTGAGGTCATGGTCAGTTCATGATGTTCTAAACTTCTAAACTCAGAAGGCCTCCCGCAGCCAGCGCCAAACTGCCGAACTGCCGAACAATCGAACCGAGCCGCTCCGCAAATCGGTCCAACGCCCCCTCCAAGAAGGGAGACCCTACCTGCTGCGAGCGTCAGGTGACCCTCAACATACCTCGCCATGCCACCATCAAAACCAAAGGGCCTTGAAGTAGTAGGTGGTATATTCTGACATGGTGAACCTCTGGTGCACCGAGTTGCCACCCCAGGACGAACATAGCTGCAAGACTGCCATTTCGGTGGGATCCCGGCGCGTTGCTGTCGCCACCATGTTCGCTTAAATATCGACCTGGGCCAGGTCGACCAAAAGTCCGGGGGCCACCGGGGGCGGAGTCTGCAGAATCAAAGGATTCTCAGCGGCCAAACTGTACTCGTCCTCCTTGGGATATTTCTCCGTACCTGCTGTGACATGCGCTGCAAAGGCCTTAAAAAAAAGGAGGATCGGCACCTAGGAAGAGCATGTGCTCGTGAAAATGGGCCAAGCCCAAGCGTTCCAAGGGGTCCTGGAATCGCCCAAGTGCTGGGATGCCAATACCGTGGGATCAAGTTCCATGAAACCATCAACCAGCTCTGGTCAGACCCATCTCTGCAGTGTCACAACTCCTGGAAAGTGCCGCATTGGACCTCGGGCTCTGGGATGCTGTTCCACTGGTCTCCACTAGTATGGGGCTCATCATTCTTGGCGTGGTGGTGGTATGATTCTCCTAGAGCTGGAGGAATGAATTCGAATTTTGTCCGCCAATCATATCTATATATGTATATGTAATATGTAATACGTAGTATGGAATATGTAATATGTAATATGTATTATGTATATGTGTATGTCCCCTATCGGTTGTGAAGGCTTGTAGTTCCATGCTATGTGTAAAAATACGGTATCGGTAAGTGGGTGGTCCTCTATCGGTTGTGAAGGTTTTCACACAAATTTGAACTTCCCAAGTCCACTCCCTTTAGTCTTCCGCTAATTTTGTCGGTTAATCATATATCATGTTGCTATCACCATGCTCCCCACAAGCATCTCGGCCCCGGGCAGTCAACGCAGCTGCGGCAGTGCTGGCGGTGGGGTCGGAAGCCAACAGCACCTCTTTTTTTCCAGCGTGTGTCCAGTCCCCAGACCCAGGGTCGTGAGTCGAAACGTTGAAACATTTGGAAACGTTCAAACATCTTCAGAATCGAGACTTCAGCCAAAGAAAACAATTACAGTAGGATTTCGCCACCAAACACCGGAGAAAACCAACAAAAAATAAGGATTTCACCAACAAACATAGATACGACGGAAATATGGGATGATATACTAACCAACAAGAGTGAATCGGGTGATAAGTGACAACCTCACTGTTTTATAGATTGGTTCCACCCGGTCTATCCCTTGATTGATTTCAGAATCGACAGTTCATGGGTTTGCCCATCATTCCCACTGTAGAACCTCTGGTTTCACCATCGTTAGCGGGGATCATCCGTGAAACCCACCAATCAGAAAATCCATCCCATAGTTCCATATAGTTCCCACCATTTCCATCCCTGGAATTACTAAACCAATTTTGAGCATCTTTGAGCCAGGCCAATTTTTGGTTCTGTCGCCGCGGTCGCCTGCAGGCCATTCTCCAGCTGAAGAACACGATAGGTGCGAGGATCACTCGGGGGCCTTCGCACCTAGCGGATTTCGGGGTCATCTTTTCTGTCTTTCCTCACTGCCAAATCAGCTCTGCGCCCAAAAAAACTGGAAAAATATAAATTCGGAGAACACTGACATTCGTGATGACTACATCCCCAGTTTTGCTGGTGAAATGAACTTCAATCCCCATCTAGTCGTTGATGAATCACTGATCTTGGTTGGCGAAATCCCCAAACATCCACCTGGATAAATCAAAATAACTCATAAACCCTAAATAAGCTCATTTTGGGATCCGTACCCCAGTCCTAAAATATCCTAACCCTCCTTGAAAAGTGACGTCACAGGTGGTGACTATTTACCCACCACTGCCTCCTTGTCAGCCACCAGCGTTGCTTGTACCGCCTGTTCCACGGCGGTGGCCTCAGGGAACGACGCAGAAAACCCAGGGTTTTCCTGCGAAAATCATGAATGGACAGTCCAGTCACAAGCTGCGACGGCATGCCCTAGATTTCAAGCAGCGGGCCCCAGACAACCAGCCCATTGGCCGAAACGACAAGAGGTATATATTGAATATGGAAAGGCGGCTAACCAGCGCCAGAATGAAGTATACCCTGGGGTCAGTGAAATCCAAACGTGACGAACCTATGTAACCGAAATCCAGCCAATCGGTCCTCCCTAGGGGGGCGATCCAAGGCAGTACTGGTATGCCCTTCCACCAGTACAGCCACTAGAAGTCTGTGCAATCGGCTGGAGCAGCACAAAGCGGTTGCGATGCAGCCACAGCACACCCCAATGATGTAGCAAAACAAGCCAAACAGGATCCGCTCAGCTAAACCAGGTGTAGGTCTATGGCTAGCCGAGGTCAAAGCAAACACAATGGATTCAAGATATCTATGCCACATCAACTTCAGCCAAAAATCTTGCAACCAATCACTCAACATGAATGCACGGAAGGACATGTATATGTGTATGTATATGCTGTATGTAGTCACACACACAACTCGGATATATATATACATATATGCTTACAACATCTTATAACTCATAACTTATGAATTCCAATTTATATACCGTGTAACATCATATAACTTACAACTGACGCCTCTTATGATCATCTACCAAAAGAGGTTGGTTTTCATGCGGGGGACCCTCGAATGTATTTTTTTACCAACCAGTGGGAAAGGGACATCTATCTGGCTGAATTATATTCAACAGATACATCCGTTTGGGGATGGTTCCCCATAAAACCATCATTCCAGGCTTTACTTGCATGTCTTACATATCTTACATCTCTATGCTATCATTTTGGAGACTATTTGTTTTTCATATCCAAGTGGCCCCCAGTCGTGAAATGTAGGTAACCTGGATATCCGATCGCTCCGAACAGCTCACCAGCATATCTCAGCCCCTAACCTGGCACCTCACGCCATGACCTTGGAAGTTCTAAAGTCTCTACGGAAACTTCCCACGTTATACCCTGATTCATGATGGATTCATGGGAAATGGCGAGATCATGGGATATGACGCTAACATCAACCATCTATGTCTAATTTGGGTCTGGAAATTCTGGAAACTGACGTACCCGGAAACCAAATGATATAGAAATATATAGAAATTCCTCTTAGCCTGTCAGACAGACCCATATGTTTCCCCCAAATGTCAAACAGACTCATTCTAGACATTGTTCCTAAACTGAGACAGTGAGAAATCGACGCCTTCAGTAGACAAACTGGATTGAGGTCCAGGTCGCCCAGAAATGTCGCTGAATGTCTTTCAGAATCTGGAATCTCTTTAAATATTTTAAATTCTCAAAATGGGATGCTGATGGATGTTGATGTCGTTGGTTAGTTGCTTTATTTCATTTTATTTCTTTGTTTGGCTTGATCCCACCTGCCAGGCGCTGCGAGCGAAGCGAAGCAAGCGGCTTCGCTCGCCGAAGGCTGGTCTGGCTGCTTCGATGAATATCGGGTTAAAATCCCAGGCAAAATGGTGACGACTTGGGTCAATGGGAATTCCAGGACCCTAAAATGGAGGTACTGTACCATATAAGGCCATATTTTGTGGGGATATTCCCTTACATTGGCTACATAGGCCTTATATATGGTAGGTACCTCCAATTTAGGTTCCTGAAATGGCCATTGATTGGGGATGCTTTCTGAAATTGGGTGAATCCCACAATGATTCGAATAAGGCCACCTGAAGGCCTGTCAAACATCACAAGGATTCACAGGTTGATTTTCTGGATGGGATACTATGAGAATTAAATCACTACGTTCGCAGTTCCGTCCCGTATTTGGGTGATTGCCCTAAGAGTTGTGGCTGTTGATCCGCTGCTACAATCCATCCACTGCCATGTTGGTTTCCAACACCGTGGTCATATCCCCCTAGTTATGGAGTATGGAAGCTGAAAAATCAGATGTGCTAAATGATTTTACCAATAAGCAGTATACCCAATCATTTTGAATGAATAAACAACTTGTTGGTCAAAAATTGTTTAGAACCTCTTAAATTGCAAACTATTGAGTGGCAGGGGGGGCAGTGACAGGACACCGCCCAACATGGCCCAGCTCCACCTGCAGGTACGGTACCGCACGCAGTGCCACAAGGGCGCCGATGCCTATGGACATGGCCTGGTAGCGATGCCAACAGGGGCATCTGGATGCAAAATTATGGGATTTGCGTGGGGTTCTACAATTTTTCAATATAATGTGTGTGTGTGCACATGTATAAATATATATATATATATATATTATATATATATATAGTATATAGATAATCACCAACGTGAGATGACTACAAATAAGAACAAATATGTAATTCTTGAATACTCTTGAAGTGATTCCCCACCCATCGCTACCGTTGGCCAGGGAAGTCCGTGCGGAAAAAGCTCTGGGGTTCCGAGGTTCCGGCGGAAAATCGCTGGGCCACCTCCGGCCGCGCACTTGGTGCAGCGCCCAAGGGCCAGGCTTGCCGCAGCCCAGGTCGCCCACTCAACGGCACAAAGGCGAGCTCAAGTCCCGACATGAGTGGCTCTCACGGTTGGCCACCAAGCTGATAAGCCCAAGACTGCAGAGAAATCTGAAAAGATGAATTTCTGTCCAGGGAATCACCATTGTGGCATTGTGCGATCAAATTGAGTTGTTCCACTCAATTTAAGAATCACGAGAAAGGTAACATGACACAAAAAAAACTCCCAATTGTCCATGTCTTGTGGAATTCCTTTTGTGATCTGAGACCTGTGCCATAGAGAACACCTAGCGCAAACGTTGATCATCTCTTGCTGGCTGCCAGCAAAATTGGGGGAACAGTAATCCATAGTAATCCCAGCCCCCATTGATATGAGACGCCCTGAATGGTCCCAGTCATTTGATTCATTTGTGGCTTTGTCCCCTACATCCATATCATTCATGGTTTCTGGGTGTCTACCCTCTGGTTATTTAACATAGCCATGGAAAATCCCATTTTTAATAGGTAAACCATCTATAAATGGGCCATCTATACCATGGCTATGTTAAATAACCAGAGGGTAATGTGAATAGGATACCTCTCTTTTTCAGCCGGTTGGAGTTGGGATACTATGCCATTCAGGATGGCTGTGGACCACTGGAATACATCTCACAGGAAGGAGCTCCTAGTCCTACTTCCCTCACAAGGCCAGCAATTGTCCTTCCAAGGGGAACCCCAAGTGACTCAAGTGGTAGATTTCCTCCTGAAACCGGTAAACTGAGGTATGAAGCACTAGAAAGAAATCGCACAGGCTTGAAACCATCAAGACCCAAATAAGATCGGGGGTGGTCCTTTTAGACACCACGTGTCACTTTGAACTTGTGGAAAGCCCTACCTACCGCATATTAATTGGATTGCCATACTTTGAACAAATCGGACCAGTCAATTTCGCGCCCAAATGTGTTCGGGAATGATACATTACATACATATATAATTTATAATTTATAATGTATATATTCATATATATATATAATATATATATTATAGGGCACGACGACCCAGAAACGAGGCACCACATACCACAGTATGATCAATCATCTCCAAAGTCTGAAAGAATGCAGTGCCACCGCCCACCTGAGGCTATGAGCCGCTTCGAGCCATCTGCGCCGCCAGCGTTTTCACGCGCTGCTCCTGCCGAGCCCCACGATGTCGAAACGCTTGGGTAATGTCTGGGCATCTGACTTTTCGGCATTTCTCGCAGCTTTTTTCTGCCATGGTCAGCGTCGATGTCAGCAACAAGCAGTCCTTTCCTGCCTTCCACTTGAGCTAGGCGATGTTTGCAAGGCAGATGGCATTAAAGATTCCACCATGCTCTGCTGCCATGGTTTGCTGGGAGGATCGATGTATTCGATCTCCATAGCTTCCTGATATTCGTTGCATATGGTCCCCCCAACAAAAAAGAAAACACGCATGTTCCCCATAGATGTCCCGTTTCTGGTGGATTTAGCCCTGGGAAAGTGCCAAAAAATCACCCAGAAATCTGCTCCAAGATCTCCGAGCTTCCTGCATGGTGGCGCAGCAAGAGCACCAGAACCAGGTGCAGAGATCTTCCGTACAGTTGCCACAGCTGCCATGGGGCATGCCGTAGACCTTGCGGATTTGCTGCCTGTGCAGGGTGGCGATCAGGATGAAGATGAAGCCGGTGATGAAGAAGGAGACGCCTGCAGGACTAGTGTGCAGAGAAGGCGGGAAAAAGGACTAAATTCATGGATTTGATTAATAGATCGGTGGATATGCATGGATATGCCTGTATACTTATACAGTATAACAGTATAACAGTATAACTTTCATAAACTTAAAAATTGTGTAGATCATCTCGTAGATCGTTACATGCGTCAAAAACAACAACCATTTTGTCTTACCATTCGTCTCTCCATCCTGCCAGAGCGTTCATGGCGACTGCAAGGATGGCTGCAGGCCAGAAGGCCACCACCTTCGTCTTGCCGCTGCTGGCAGTGTCGGCCCAACGGATGGGGCCGCAGCAGCAGGAGCAGCAGGGGATGCGCCGATCGCGCATCGCTTCGCGGGAGGGAGCATCGGGATCCTGAGATTTTTCGGAAATTTCCATGGGATCTTGGAAGATTTGGAAGATGAAGATCCCTTAGATCCCGAAGTTCTGGGTATCGAAGTTCAAATGCTCCAGGTTGGGCGAAAAGCTGGAAAATATGGGGAAAATATGGGAAAATGGGAAACTAGGAACATATAGGAACCATGTCTTTCAAAATCTGCGGTTGAAGATCCAGGGATCCCAGTTGCAACATTCGAAGAGGCTAAAAGTGAAGTGGTCACGGTTCACCGTGGGCTCACGGTGAAGCTTGGGATAGGGATAGGTGAAAGCCATGCCATAAACTTTCGCCATGATCATCATGAAGATGAAATAAACGGCAGCACCCAACAGTTGATCTCGGAGGATATCATTACCTCAGGTCTCTCTATAGCTGGCGGGAATTTCAGGAGAGCCAGCAGACCGGCTTCACTGTTTCCCCGCGAAAATGTGTGAACTTCACGGAAGAGGAAGGTCATAGAACAACAAAAACGACCTGGAAGTGCCTGAAAGCCAGAAAAAATATATAGCTGATTCTGGCGTCTCTTCATCTGCAAGCCAAACACCAACCAACAGCTGATCCCAAGCCCTAAACTCACAGATCAATTCATTGTCAAGGTACCAAATTCCAGGGCATTGTTGACTGCTACCTGTAAGCTTCTTGCCCGAAGAAAAGCTTGCGATTGCTCCTGTCACGGGATCAGTATATGAGCTGTTGCTGCCCTACAAGACTACGCCCAAAAGGCTCGTCATGGCATGGGTATTTGAAAAAAACTGGGGTTCAAAAATTAGCCTTACATAAAGCTCAGATAGTTGTGGACACCCTTCACGCTTCCATGCTAGCAGACAAAGACACCAACCATGCTTGGACTTCGGACCATCATGCTTGGAGACACTATCATTGATACTATCATTCTACCCTCTGGTAATTTAACGTAGAAAATGACCATTTATAGTGGATTTTCCCATTAAAAATGGTGATTTTCCATAGTTATGTTAGTTTACCAGAGGGTATATCTTTTTCCTGCCAGTTTTCTATGGGGGTGTCCACAAAAAGCCGTCTGAAACAACCCCTCCTGCAGCATCACCTCTGCCTTTCTCTTCTCGGCTTGCGCCACCTGCAACTCCTCGGGCTCGCTGTTAGCGGCTGTTTCCCTCAAGATCCTTCAAGGGTCATGTGTCAATATGCATCAATATGTGTCAACCTTGGATTCAGGTTGCCTCCCACTATCTACTGGTCCCACTGGTCCCACTGGTCCCACTGGTCCCACTACTTGGGGAGGTCATTGCGATCCATATCCAGGAATAATATGGAAGCCTCCCCATACCCAAACAACCCAGAAAGTGTTTGATCCATGATTCGCATGGATTGATGGGACTGATTGAATGAGACACCAATGGATGGAGCCCCATGTTGGTTCCCAGCCCACCTCAGTCTGACGCTGGAGCAAATCTTCCAACTGTCGTTCCTTGACTTCCTTGGAAACACATGGGCAAAGAGCACGTTTTTCCTGCTGGCTTGACACAACAACTATCAAACAACTTATGGATAACTGCTGGAGGAACTGTTCAAGAAATCAAAGACCGCTAGAACATGCTAGAACTACAAGAGAATATCCAAAAACACACCTTTTGTGTGTTCGCAGTGGCATCCTACAGTAGGCCGCCGGGAATCCACTTGACGGAGCTGAGACTGGAATGTCGCCTGCTGGTCATTTTGGTTTTTCTGTTCTGTTGCAATCGCCTCAATCGCCTTTTGTTGCGACTGCACAGCTGTCACTGCCGTTTGCTCCCTTCGGGCCTTGGAGCGCCAATGATAATCCCAGTGGTTCAGTAAGGCTACAGATTGACTACTTCCATGACACTCGGATGTCACTTGACACATCTGAACAAAAACATCCTGACAGGTGATAGATTAGATAGTTTCCATGTTCCTTTCCACGGTGTTGCCAGGTGGCAAGCGCCTCTACCTGCCACTGTTGCAGCAACGCCGTGCCGGTTCTGTAGACGGTTGGGGGCAACGGCGCGCTGAAGCCAACCTGGGATGGAACCCTCCACAGCGGCAACAGCAACGTGCCACTGGAAAAGGGCTGTGGCTGCACCCAATGACCCAATCATAAACCTCCAGGGATGCTTAATAAACAGGCTATCTTCATTTTAAAAAAACAGTTCCACCATGTTCCACCCCATTCCCAATGGGTTCCCAATGGGTTCCCAGTGGGTCCCATGGCACGGAGGTTTGGATCGACGCATCGGTCTTCAGCGCCGCCACCGAGGCCACCGAGGCTGCCCCAAGGGACAGCAGCCACTGCATTGCGCACCGGGCGGGCTCACCGGGTACCGGGGACCGGGGTCGGGTCGGGCCGGGTCGAGCCCAGCTGCTGTTCATCCTAGCAACTGCAGTAACTGGTGGTCAAAACGCCATTGAAAGTCATAAAGGCCATAAAGGCCCGTTCTTGCAGAAGACTAGGGATTGTTTGGAATTTGTGACAGAAGTGGTCACAAGTGGCAGAAAAATGCGATATGCTGCGCAGTGGCCCCACCTCAAGCAGAAGTGGTTGAACCTCACCGTGACAAATCATGTGCACAACCAACCCCCGAGAAAGGTTCATCTGTACGGGGGATCGTAGATGTTCATTCATCGCCAAAAAAAACACCAACCACCTAACCTATTGGCCAGATGTTCTCAGGCTCAAGCCATGTGTACTTGCCCGACACTTTGGTACAGGCTAGCAAGGCTCCTGATGGCACCAAAGCGCGTCTCCCAAGCCATGAAACTCCGGTTGCCAACACACTCTAACTAGCATTGACCCTGCCAAATGGCGAATTGGAAGACTACTTTACTCTTGGGGTGAGCGGGTTTCAGCGTCTTATTGTGGGGATGGTAACTTTGAATCATGCCCAACTGCCCAGCCACCTGAGTGTTTGGACATAAGCCACGTGGTTGGCAGACAGGTCCATGGCATAGATTTGAGATGCCTGCCCAAGACACTGCTTCTGTCCGCTTTTTTTGTGGCGCTTGGGGCCATTGTAAACCACACCCAGTCCTCTTTCTTGGGTTTACCTTTGAGTTTGTTACTTTTTTTGAAGTCTACTTACACCAAGTCTTCGTCGTGCCGTGGCGCGACGACATTCTGATCCACTGCCAAGTCTCTGTTCCGATGCTCTGCTAGCGTCGCACCAGGCCTCTTTGTACAGAGCCTGATGTTCGATGCGTTGGATGCGCCACAGAAAGCCCAACTGTCCACAGGAAAAATAGACCAATAGACCCCATGCAAGAAGAGGGGGCTGAAAAGCTCAATGTTTTTGGTGTCACGGGTTTCTCACAACCATGTAGGCGTGCGGATTTTCATCATCATGATGTGTGGGTGGGGTGAGGTGGGGCTCAACGTCGGATGACACTTCCTCAGTTACTTGATGCTACGCTGCTTGAAGTTCATTAGCACACTCGCACATTTATATCATGCTACATCATGCTACGCTACTTGAAGCCACTTGCACTTCCACAGCTGCACAATGCTACAAACAAACTTGCAAGCAACTTTAGGAAGAAAAACATGTTGTGAAGTCCGTGGTTCATTCAAAAGGCAAGTGTTCGAAGAGAGCATGAGCACGGAGCAGGAGCGTTCTTGGGGGACCCAACAATAATTGGCAGTTGCTGGGATTGGATGAAACGCTTCTACCCGAAGCAGTAGAGAAAAAAGAGCTGTGTCCGACAGTCAATGGGCGACTGATGGACAGGGCACCTGTTTTTGGTTCGCCTCTTGTCTTGGGATGTCTTGGCCGTTCCTTTTTGGCCCAAGTTCGCCCCCAAAAAAAAAACTGGCCAGAATCAGAGGGCTTGGTGCAGACTGCTGATCCTGCAGGTTGTTGTGCTATTTCCAGTGTGTGGGAAGAAAGGCCGCATCTTTCTTGTCCCAACCCTTCAAACCATTTACCATGGGAGAATTGAAAGACTTTTCTACATGAAAACGCTATTCCTTAAGCCACGATTTCCAGTAGATTTCTCCGACAATGATCCCAATGCCAGCGCTTGAGCGAAGCACCGAAGCATCCCCAGTGGGACGATCGGGATACCCCTGCCACGCCTCTGCATCAGCCACATGCTGCAACTTCAACTTGGCACGGGCCAAATTCTGCAGGCAACCTGCATACCTTGGGAAGCGACTTCGGAGAGCAGCGTTTTTGGTTTTTGGGTGCTAGGATGGTTCGAACTGGTTTGACCGCGTGGGACAATCGGAGCACCGAATTATGGATACACCATGATACACCCATCCACAGGGAACATGATATTTCTACCTAGCAATGACTTACCTTGGCACTTCCCACAGTCACATCTTGGCTCGTGTGTGTGCCAAACTCAGCACTTAGCTGTGCTCAGTGCCAGACTCTTCATGTTGTTCGCCCACAGCGACTGAAAACGACAGTCTGGACCTTGGTAAGTGGTGAAAAGAGGATCTACCGGCATGGCCGTGGTTGAATTTTCTATATTGAACTGCTGTTTGCTGCTGCTTTTGAGGGAGGGAGCATGAGGGGGAGAAATATCAACTCTGGATGAACAAACCCCGGTTGATTACTTAAGCGAGTTACCCACAAATAGTGGGTTCATCTGCTGCTAAAATGCTACCTCCCCAATGATCAACAGCCCAGTTTGTCAATCCCAGGTTGACATTGTTCAATAGTAAATAAGGTTCAACTTGGCCCAAAAATGGGCTGCCAAGCTACTCTTCAAACAGCTCCGCGGCACGCTGGTGCTGACCCAACTCGAAATAGGTTTGTGCAAGGTCATTGCAAACCTCAAGGGGCGCTACTGTGGTGATCCATGGCGGGGGAACCTTTACGGCCCATAAACCAGGAATTTCAACATCAACAAATGGTATGGTATGGCTATCATCCCAATGAATTCCCTACCCCAAGCTCCTTGGATAGTAGCAGGGATAGACCCTCTCAGGCATTGCCCAAAATGTCGGTCTTTTTTTAAAACCTGTTAATTATCCATGTCAAATTCCAAGGCGGGACGGAAATATTCTATTCAACTCATCTTTTTTTGGCTGTGTATTCAGCATTGCACGCAACCTCAAGACCAGGATGCAACACCATGTGAGCGACATCCATATGCAGCACCACAGCAACCACCATGTCTGTAACATGGCCCATATACAACATTATAGCACCCACGGAGCATGACGGTAACCCATAGCTTCCATGGCTAGGCCAGCCGGAGGATATACCCTGGGTCTGGGTCCCCGGCACGTGCGAAATCTTTACTGCCTTTCCCCGCAGCCTTTGAAATCGCCACACTGGCCTTGGACAGGGCATGGATTGGGGTCCTATCTTAATAGGAGTAGCCCTGCCATGAAAGTCTGACTGAACCATGTTGCATTGCTTATCAGAGTTTCTTGCGACACCTAAAATGATTGATCGCTTCAACATTCATCCGCCAATCGGCCAGCGGTCTATTTCAATCATCTTCCCAGTGACCCATTTATGGCTATTGAAATTGTATGTCCATATGCACTCTGCATGTAGCGGCCCCAAGGCCACCCCTTAGCTCAGGCGCGCTGATTTGCAATCTCTGCATTGTACTGTACCGCGGCTGTGGTTTTACACGGTACACATTGTCGGGGTTTTCATAAATGGGGAGATCCCAATAGCTGGATGGTTTCTTTCATGGAAAATCGGAACATAAAATGGATGATTTCGGGGTACCCCCATGACTTAGGAAACCTCCATCTGTGGATTGTAGTTTACAGTTGCCAAATCTTTTCCCAATCCACAGCAAGTCGTGAATGTCCGCCATCCGCGCCTTGCGATACGGTTGTAGGGCCTCGGAATAGCTCTCTCCAGAGCATTGGAAGCCACCGCTAAGTAATGCATATTTGATTGGGATATCTTGTCGTGCTACACTGGGGGTATAACAGGGATATATACTTATTCATATATATCTATGTGTGTGTATATGTATTGGCGGTATAATGGAAATATCATGGGGTATATATAGAACCAACTTAATGTGATTCTTGTGTGTGTGTCTGAAATCGGGGCCCCTACCCGAAATACCAATAAATCTGCTATAGAATATGAGAAAAGAAATGATAATGCATTGGAATTGGGGGTTCCCATGTTCAAACAAACCCATTTGGCATGCTGAAATTGATGCTGAAATGGGTCTTGCCCTTTCATTGGTCAAATGCTGAAATGGGGAAATGATCTCGAAGACATAGATAGCTACGCCCACAATTTGGCTCAAGACCAGTTCCATGGCCATCTCCGTAAATTCAGCACCTCTCCTCTTTGTGCTTGACTCCTTCTTCCAAGTTAGAGACTTTGAGAATCTTTTAGATACTTTTAAAACCTTTTAAGTGGGATACTTATGATCATGAACGATAAGAATGATAATTATTTGCCATGCTATGTTTTTCCCTCCCGGATTCTACTCAACTTTACTAAATCCTCAAAAAATCCAAGGAGTCCACCCAAAAGATGGTGTTATGATCACTGCCCAATGGTTCCAATGATCACTGACCAGGCCTCCGACTTTCTCCAAGTCACCGCGCTCGCGCAGGCTGCGGGCCTCCAAGCTCAGTCTCGGGAATTCGCCCATCCGGTAACATGATGTAACACGTACATCTGATTAAACATGCACATAGAATATATATATATATATTATGTGTGTGTATACATATACATATATATATATATACACACATGTGTGTATAATTATATGTATGTGTATGCATGTGTATATATATATTATATATAACTATCTAATACTATACTATATTATAGAACTCATGTGTTTGTTTTTAACCGCTTACTAACTGCCCCCAAAGTTGGCCAAAGTTGGCCGATGACCCGCCTGGAAGGTTCGTTATTTTTCCCTATGCCCCGTCCTCCTCGAAGAACCTCACCGCATCCTCCGTGCTCTTCCGACCCTTCTTGGACTTATACCTGGGCGGAAACTGCGGAAAAGCTGGGTTTTCATTGGAGAGACCTAGGTTTAAAACACCAAACTAGCTTGGAATCAGATATGAAATCATATATTAGATGATGTTGAATCAGTTAATAGTGATATATGTTTAGATGATGTTAAACAGTAATATATTGATGTTAAACCATATCTTATATTAAACCACGCTAAATGATGCTAAATGCCAGTTCTTAGGATTGATGGCCACGTTGCTGGCCAACAACCCACTTCTTTGCATTTATCTGCATTGAATCTCACGTTCATGGATAAGAAATTCATCTGAAATAGAAGGTGATATTATATACATCTATATGTCTATATATATATATATTGTTGTGTGTATGTATGTGTTATATATATATGTGGTATGGTATGGTATGTTATTGACATATAAATAGATGTTAATTGATATAAAAATAACTTAAAATATATACAACATTATACAACATACTTCGGTCAGACCCTACTCCGGAGTGGCATTTCTTCAGGCGCCCGGCTGTTCTTGGTGCGTCTTCGCTTTTCGCACCTCCTAAGGTCACTTCTTGAGATTCTCAGAGGCAAAAAAGAAGTTGATGATCAGTTGATAGCTGATGGATGTTGATGATGTGACTACAGAAAATTACAGAAAAAAAATGAAATTGAATTGAAGATAGTTCAAGCCAGTTACTCAGTTACTCAGTTCAAGCCTATTCTCAGTTCCTTCAAGTTCCGAAAGCTTGCTGACCTGTCAAAAAAAAGGCCCGATCCTCTCCGAAACCTTTGGCCAATCTGCCAGCCTGAGACGTCCCACTGGTCTCCACAACTCCATGAAAAATGCCATCAGATTCGCGGTTCGCGAAATTCCAGATGTGGCAAACCCAAAGCCATATAACATCTAGAATAGAATCTATATAATAGATGTTATAATATTATAATAATGGGAATATTATAATATCAATAGAATCTATAACTATCCCAAATAATATTATATCACCATAAATGGCTGGTATCGAAACCATCCCCAAATGCTAGTTCTGTTTGGCATTGGGATTATAAAACACACCGAGACTGGAGGTGGTACACCGGCCTTGTAGATAAGCCTGGGGTTCTTGCAACATGGCTGCCTCCCAAAATGCAGCGATGCCAGAAATTCCCCATGTCTAGCACGTTTCAATCCAGGTGTGGAGGATTGAGCTGAGTTTCTGGCATGCCAACCCAGGGCTTCCAAGGCTCCCATCGAAGGAGTACCAGGCACCCCAAGGCCTGGAGTCCAAAGAGCTCCCAGCTGCAGTGTTTCTGTGTTTTTGGGAGGCCGGGGACATCCGGGGACATCCGGGGACCTTCGCCAAACGTCGAGCCATGGCGCCAATGAACACTGTTGGCAGCCCTGTTGGCAGTGTTGGCAGTTTCCCACTTAATCCCAATAAGGAATGCATGCAGAATCTCCTGCGGCAAGTGTCCTTGGGTAACTATTCTGTACATGTCTAGGTTACGTGTTTCCCATGGCAAGGGGAAAATCCCTATAACTGCAGGTTTAGTCCGCTGGGTCAATCACCTATAAATGAGGAATCTTTCAGCAAGCCAGGTTTAATTACCAGAGGGCTGTGGCGAACCCTGCGGTTGCACTTGGAGGATCACACGAAGAAACTAACTGGCGTGAGTAGTTACACCACCCATTGATATACGGGATATCCATGTCCCACTTCGGGGACTGTCTAACTACGTTTATGAGCCAGATAGGATTCCTGGGATGAGCCACGAATCCAAGCACCATGGCCAGATGGACTCAAGAAGCCTGCGCAGACCATGAGCAAAGCAAGCATCAGAAGAAAACCTGTGTTGGCTTCTGAAAGATCTGAAAGACAGGGCAAGACATGGCAAGACAGGTTCAAATCTTACACAGGTCCATCTGAAATAAAGCTGGTCCAAAAGCCGAAGGCCTTTCCATACTCCATCCTCCTATTAGTTCTATTATGAATATCTTATTATGTTCTAGTCATGCCCACCAAATCAGCTGGCATTAGCGTCTGCGAAGGAGATTTTTTCATGCTCAATAGTTACTACCTTGTGTACCTGTGCAATGCACACAATGCACATGAGAACAGCACCTTGAAGATGAGTACCACATGGTACCACTTGGCACTCACAGAATGACACACCTCCAGCAAGAAAACCATTGATGAGCCCCTATTCATCCCCATTCAACTGGTGACCCTCACTGGGTGCCTATCACTGGGGCCATCACTATCCCAAGTTCCGGAGCACGGCAGCTGGACCAGCTGTTGCTCCGCTTTTTCAGCCTTTCCCATAGCAATAAACCACGGCCAGAGACACATTCACTTGTGGGCATCTCTGGTGCTCTCACGTCTGTACAATGCGACTATTGCTAGGAACATTTTTTGTGTTTCTCTTTCGTTTCCAAGCAGCTTGCACCGTGTTGTTCTGTTGAATCTTCGTTCCATGAGAACCATGAGAAACACCCAACTTCTACACCATCGCCCTTCGCGATGGCCGCGAATGTCTTTGACACGTCGCGTTCGTTTTCGCCCATCGTTACCGCCATGGACTGGGACCAATGCAGTCGTCCGCGTGCGCTAGGCATTCGGAGTACAGCCTCCCAACCGGGCGTTACGGGGGCCGTTACGGGACAACGGGGAGAACGGGGTGCGGCCAGCGTCGCTCGCGCCAGTGCAACCAAGATGCTCCACCTTCTTGAAAGGATGAAACGCAACATGTCCTCCTCAGCGATGGAAATCTGCAGCTACAAGTTATATCAATTTATTATTGTTGGTACAAAAAAAACAATAAACCACCCATATGTTTATGGTTACCACCCATTTATGGTGATGGGAATGGTTTATTGTTGTTTTAACCACATTAAACAGTTAAGTTATTACAAGTTCCTACATCCCATCTGAAACAAAAATCGGATGTTGTCCAGGTGGCTGTCGGCGCATTGCTTGGGATGGAGCGGCTCGCACCAATCACATGCATTTTGCAGGAGGCTATAGTCCATGCGAGTCTTTACCCCCAACTTCAGCATGCAATCCTTCCTGCAGACAGGGGCATCAAAATTGAGTAGTTTACAGAAATGGTTCCCACAAAACATTGCTAAAAATTCAAATGTTCGGAACACACACACGAAAAGTCCATGTGCTGAGTCGACTGACCCTTTTTACATGTTGAACATGGGCACGCATGAGTTGGTTCCATTGCAGCTCAGCAGCATGAACGCATCCTCACCCTGTGTTTGAGGATGTGGCCGTGGACAGACCTGCGCAGATCACACCCGCAGCTGAATAGTCTGCATACCCTGGAGGATTTTGACGCATACTGAGCTGACCGAAAGAGAAGTTCAGCGGAAACTGTTCAAGCTGCTCGGACTCGATTGAGGAACAATCCCGCTAGGTGTGCGCGCTTCATCGCGCTTCATTCCCACCAAATTCACACACTTCCACGTGCCAGGCTGTGTCAGATCGAGGGAGGAAGACCTAACTTGGTAACCCAACAACAAACAACCTCCTCTTACCCGGCTTACCCAATCTTTAAATGTCCATCCGGGGACCAAAAACCACACCCGGAAAAAGGGAGTTGATGTTGTGCCTACCACAATGCTCACAATCCCTCGCATTTTGGACTTTGAAATGACTGCCATGTCCTGCATCAGGCCTTCGCATGCGATCGCTGGTAGAGCTTCATCTGGGCACCGCACCAGTTGAGCAACAAAACTTGACACCGTGCAGACCTGCACATTTCGCGCCATTGCAGTCAAGGAACAGCTCCCGTTGAAAAGATTTCAATGGGCCCCAAGAAGTCCAAAGGACCCGGATTCTTGTCAGCCTCATTTCAAATCAGCCATTCCCTGCATCAAACCATGCAAGTGCAACATGGTTCCAAAGCTGCATCAAATGCAGTTAAGATGCATCATAATTCAGCCAAATGCAGGCTTCATCTTTCGGCACATGGGCATTTCCAAGCCGCTCTCGAAGCCTTTGATGGCAGAAGAAGGTGTCCTTAGACTTGTAAAATCACACTCAAATGTCACAGGGGATGACTGTTCCGTTGGCTATCCTGATTGCATGGTTGATGGCTGGCGGAAATACAAAGCTCCCGTTCAGCCAAAGCAAAAACACCATTAGCAAAGGGAATCACGATTGATGTGTTCTCAATTTGTGCGGGACAGTCAACAACACACCACTGGCTAGGGCAGAGTTGATGCATGGAAAACGCAATGTAGGTTCCAAAGAATGTTCGGTGGGTGTGTGTGTGTGTGTCTGTGTGTGTCTGTGTGTGTGTGCGTGTGTGTGTGTGTGTGTGCGTGCGTGCGTGCGTGTGTGCGTGCGTGCGTGTGTGTGTGTGCGCGTGTGCGTGTGCGTGTGCGGGTGCGTGTGCGTGTGCGTGTGCGTGTGCGTGTGCGCGTGCGCGTGTGCGTGGGGGTGTGGGTGTGGGTGTGTGTGTGTGCGTGTGCGTGTGTGTGTGCGTGTGCGTGTGCGTGTGCGTGTGCGTGTGCGTGTGCGCGTGGGGGTGTGGGTGTGTGTGTGTGTGTGCGCGTGCGTGCGTGCGTGCGTGCTTGCTGATGATCAGTGTTTTTGTGCTCTAAGTTGTGCGAGAGAGTCGGTCACACGATGCTCATGGGCTCATTTTGGGGGTCCAGGCTTTGCTGAGATCCTGTAAAATGAAGAGATCAACATCGCCACAGCGGGCAGCACAGCTGGTGACTTGCTGCAAATTCGCGGTCGCCTTTTTGCTGAAAGCAGGACTGTGAACCACCTAGTTTGCGATTGTTTTCCTTGCACACATAGAACACCGATGTAAATGTACATGTACAGACTGTACAGATGCAAATCTATAAATATACGTAGTGACATGGGCATGCCTACATACGTACCTACTTACATTGCAATGCATTGCATTGCATTGCACTACACTACATTACATTACATTGCATTGCATTACAACGATGACGCACGTGACAAACACTTCATACATCTCATACACTACATACACTGCAAATAGGTCAATGTTGACAGTTCTGTGCTCGAGCATTTGATTTTTTATATGTTCAAATTCTCTGTGTGGGTTCTGAATATAATTCACATTGTATACATGCATTGTTGTGAATTCATATGCATATGTGCGCGGTCTGAAGCGGAAACTGCGTATTTTTGCTTGTCCAACGAGCAAGCCTCTAGAGGCTCCTGAGGCACTAAAGCATCATTTGCCATTTGCCATCATTTGCCAATAAAAATGGCAATGCAGGTTGTAGCTCATCTCATGTTCTGGTTCCTAACCTCTGTATTGTTACTCGTGATTTGATTTCCGTTCAGGTGATGCAATTTGCAGGACATTGCCCGTTTCCATCTTCACTTCTGGATGCGCCGCTTGAATCATCCCCCTTATGCCACTCATCTAGGGCCCTGAAAAATTTACTGTGGGGTGCTATCTTAATCCATCTTTGCAAGAGCTGAAAATTTCGAAACCCAGCCCAAAAAAAATACCCAATAGCCAGGTGTCCATGTCTGCTTTCACGGTCCAATCATATAACAGGAACCGTTTGTCTTCCAGTACCTTGTTCCAAGCTCTGAGAAAAACTGGGACGTTGTACCTCAAAGGCCGGTGCATCGAACGGAAACTTCCCCCAGCCAGGCACCTGAAATCACCCGCCTGACCGGGACCTTGAAAGAACATGACAGTGTGCAAGATTGAGCGTTCGAAACAATGACGTTCGCTCTTTAAATTGTGGGCATTGTGGCGATTTTCCCCATGTTTTGAAGCAGAAATCGTTTCAGGATTCTCAAGGCCCACTTTCAGATCTTTCAGCGTCCCGAGGCAACCGAAGAGCCATGAGTTCCACGGTGCCCTTTTGGAGTTGAAAGCGCCAATGCTGATCGACTTCACATCTTGGAAGCTCACTGGAAAGTCACTGAGCAAAAGCCTCAAATGGCGTTCACTGCAGCCGCACTTTAAACAAGAAGAAATGCGACAACTGAACAAAGACGGTGGTTTTTGATCAATTTCAGTGGCATGCGCATAAATCTGGTGCACCCGTTCCAAACAGAGTTGCTTCCTTGGTGAACATGATACATTCTCTTTCAAACGAAGAGCTGGCCTGCATGCCCGTGCAATGTGGCAAACTCAAGGGCCAACGGAAGCTTACGAGCCATGGGAAATTACAGCAAGAAGAACAGAGCAGACATGACAAGTAGAGTAGAGAAGAGTATGGGAGAGAAGACCGGAGAATATCTGAGAAGGTAGGAACGAAAGCCAGCGGCAGGCTTTTTTTTGGCAAGTGCAAAAAAAATGACCCACATGGATATCTACATACCTACGGACAAAAAAGATGTATACTTGGTACGACATGTGAATTTAATATGCGTGCCATATTCTTTATCCTAACTAACAATGAGCAAAATACTGAATCATAAGTCCACACTGCATCAAAGTCATTGTGTGCCAGTCTCAAGCGACATGCCCTGCGACGACAAAAAAAAAAGAGTTTCTCCGCCCAACAAGGGCTGGTTTGAAGAATGCAATCGGATTTTTTCAGAAGAATTGACTGGATGGATAGATGCAGACATCGCTGGATAAATAGACAGCTAGATGGGTAGATGGATAGATTAAAGATCGGCACATAGATCCATAGATCAATAAATGGATCGAGGGACGGAGAGATGGATAGATAGATAGCTAAATAGATAGATCGATGGATAGATCGATCAATAGATAGATAGACAAACACAGACAAACGATTACATAGATAACCAGATATAGCCAGATAGATATACAGATGGAGAGCTAGAGAGATGGAAAAATGGAGAGATAAAGCGATCAATGGTAGATGGATGGATGGATTGACAGACGGATACATAAATCGATGGATGGACCGAGAGATAGATCGATAGATAGACGGAAAGAGTAATGGATGAGTAAATTGACGCACACAAATGGACAGGATCGATGAATCCATCGATGGATCGACCGGTCGGTCGGTAGATGAATTTTCTGCATCGTTTCCTTCTATTTTACAAACTGCCCCACCCCCCCGTCCCTGGGGTCTGCCTTGCATGGTCAACACCCTCACAACTCAGTATATGCTATATACCTCTCTGTGTCTACACAAACCGCATTTAATCTCTTTTTGCTCCCCCTACATATGTCTGTAGACACACCTACATTTATACACGCACACACTGATCTATCATGCATTTCATACTATCCAAAGCGGAAGATGTGCTCCCAGAGACTGCAACCTTTGAGCTGCATTTTGTCATCTTTTCCACCTCCATTTTCGTACCCTTCTGTGTTGATACTTCGAACAACCTCCCTATCCGATGAAATACACTCCACCAAACTCACGCTCTCCAAAAACTGTAAAACCCCCTCAAACCCAGCACATAGAACCGCCCCTCAAACCCGGCATATAGAACGCCGCACACCACATGTTAGCTCGCACAGCATGTTAAAACTCTTGGAGACACACCCATCCCCAAAAGCACCCTTTCCAATGGGGCGTATTTATTACGCTCAAACGATCTATTTAATATAGACACCATGGCCCCATTACGCTCCGAAGGCTGAAATGCTTTGGAAGCGAACCCACACATATCTGCCCGCAGATTCATGCTCCAACTCCCACAACCACACTCCCATCTAAACCACGCTCTCCAAAAAAGGACACCTGCGATCAACCCTCGCAAACCATATGCTGCATTGACACTTGACACTTCCCATCATGCTCTGATAAGCCATTCAATTCAACCTCCCTATCTGATGAAATACACTCCACCTCCAAACTCATCCCTCCCAAGACCGGCATATAGAACTGCACAACCCCCTCAAACCCGGATACAGAACGCCACACACAACATGTTAGCTCGCACAGCCCGCCATGCCACAACCCAACCCCAACCGAGCGGACCGGGGGGGCACCGATACCCACCATCACCAGAGGGTAAAACGGACAAAAAAAAGACACACCCTACTCACCAGCTACCTGAGGGATTGGAGGCCTCCACGTCAGCCACTACCCCCACACACCCTTATCTCACTTCGTTCGCATAGGGAACAACTTCGCTCAGCCTTTGGCTGGCTTTGGAAATATAATACAGAAGAATGGAATACATAAGAGCACAAAAGAGTAGAAAAGACTAGGGCCCAAAAAGGGGAGGGTAGAGAAGAGGAAAGAAAAGCAGAAGAGTAGAGAAAGGCGGGAAGAGTAGAGTAGAGTGCAGTAAAGTAGAGCAGAGCAGAGCAGAGCAGAGTAGGGTAGAGTAGGGTAGAGTAGAGGAGAGGAGAGGAGAGGAGAGTAGGAGAGGGCTGAAAATAATAGGCAAGAGGAGAGAAGACTAGACACGAGTAGAGAAGAGCACAGAAGAGGAGAGCAGAGTAGAGGAGCGTAAGAAGTAGTCGAGAAGAATAGAGAAGAGCAGAGCAGAGCAGAGCAGAGCAGAGAAGAGAAGAGAAGAGAAGAGAAGAGAAGAGAGGCTTTCATTTTTGGAAGGAAGTCTCGCTTGAAAGCCTCCGTTTCACAACTTCAACTTGCATTTTGGGGGGCAGTAAGTCTGATGGAATTTGCAAGGCCTGCCGCGGGACAGTTGCTAAACGGTCTCGCAAAATTCTGGGATCATTATTGGAAAGGCCTCGGATCGAGCGCACAGTGGAACTGACTTTTCAGTCCGTTTGCGGCATTTTCTTGCGCACATAGTTCTACTATGTTTGGCAACTCCGTGTTTGCAAATAGCATCGGGGTGGCTGCATCAATGTCGCCGCCTGCTGCGGCTGCGCACGCGGTTCCATTGTGTTCAGCAATCCCGTGGCTGCTGGGCGCTGTGGAATTGCTGAGTCAAGGTGGCTCCTGATGCATGCCCGTGCGCTGGTGCCACTAATTAATTAAGTGTCTTGCAACCCGGGGGTTGCTTAGTGCAGTCAAAATTCAATGTCAAGGTGGCTTTTGGTCTGTGAGATGTCAAGAGAAAGGGATGTTAAAAGAAAGCTCTCAGCGCACAGACGTTCTGGCATACATCCTGTAGGCACATGTTTTTTTCCTTGGTAGGCTCCTACCTCCGATTGTTTCCGCCCGAAGCTTGCCCGGGCACTATATACTTGTAAACCAGACCGTGCCCCACTTCCTGAATTTTACTATTCGGTGCATATGGTGTGCCACGTTTCTGTCTTCCAGCACTTTGATCTGGGCCCGCCTTCTCAGTTACTTGTACGTCACATCCTAAAATCTGGAACAATCACGTAGTTTCCGGGACCACGAGCGATACTCTTACAAGTAAACACGGACCAGGTTAGCATTTCCACCCGTGATTCTTTCAAGCAACTTGAACCTACCTTCCTAGCACGAGACAAGCAATGATGGCTCAGACATTTTATCAAATGATCCACCAAATTGCGGTTTCAGAAGTTCAGTCGTATCTCCATCTGTGTGCCCGAAATAGGAGCGAGGCGCCACGCATCACACCTGAAGATGTTAGTGTTGCTCTGGCGATGCTGTCTCATCAACTCTTCCCTCAGTGACAGGAACGATGGCACAAACACGCTGTCCTTGCAGGGTGGAACCCACCGAAAACCATGATCAGTAGAATGCATGCACGATGGATCCACAGTTGGGTTGGTGCTGAGATACGTCACTAATGCTGGGCAATGCTTGCAGTCACTGCATGTGTGTCTGAAGACTTGCGCGCTATTGCTGTAGAATTGTGTTCCAGATAGAATGTCCAAATGTATGTATGCCAAAGCAAATACCAAAAATGGCAGATGAAAGATCAAAATATAGACCGGACAAAGTGTCAGGTGATTTCGCAACATGTTATGCGCCAGACAATGTCAAATAAAATGTCGAATATATTTCAATACATACACCAGAATACATGTCAAATGTCATAAGAATTAATAAGAATCAGAAATCATATGCTTCAGAATGCATGCCACTGGATATGCCAGTAGTTGTGCCAAGATATAATGTGGCCAAGCTAGTAATTTTCCGTCTCTGTGCATATCAGTGCATGAGTCAAACCTTTTCTGGGGGCAGGATGACCGTCTGAATGGCTTTTCACCCCTGCCCTTACTGAATCTGGCTTGACCTTAGCCCCAGTCTGGCTATGAAGATCTTTGCTGGAGACTGCTGTGCATAGACCAATGAAGAATCCAACCACAGGACGTCACAGGACATTGCACACTTGAGGCCTAGGGGTAAGGACGAAAGCTAGATTGGCAGGGAGCTTAGCATGAAAACACAATGATGCAGAAGATGCGGATGCTGCCGATGTTGGTGCCGGTGGCGACATGCCGACGATATCCACCCGGGTTGAGCCACGGCCAAACTGCTTGTGAACCAGCCCGGGGGAGGGGGGGCGAGTTAACTGTAAAATTTCACGCGATCGGAGATTCCATCCCCCCAATACAGTGCCAAAGAAAGAGGAACTTCAGCTAGCAGAAGCTAGCTTTCGTGACAATCAACCCCAGATTAGTGTTGATTCACCTATATATTTATGATTATTTATGTATTTTATGTTGATTCATATGAGGCGCTTTGTCTAATCGGAATTGTAGCTGCCTGGGGGCAGTTCATACAGCACATGTGCGATGGCCCAGGAGCCAACATGTTTCAGCAGAAACCCAGGCTCCCGCACTCGCCAGAGTTGGCCATGATGAGCGCCCAGCAGAACAAACTGGGACCCTCGGGGCCTTTTCTTTGTTTCAAAAACCTCAGTTTTTGCCCAGCGATGGGTGGAAAAGCTTTGAAAAATTGCCGTGTTGTGTTTTTTCCAGTGCTCTGTGTCTGTGCGCGCCGTGTGTTGCCGAGCATCAAATGAGAGGCGTCTTTGGCATACCCCTCGTACTTCTGAAGCTCGTGTGGTATATCTTCTAGGCCTGGTCATGGGGAAACCTCTCCACTCCGCCCTCCCAGTGGAAAGCATCGTTCTGAGCCAAAGACAGCTTACGTTAGGATTTTGTTTGAAACCGCTTTTGCTCCAATTGAGGGACGGTACTTCACATTCGAGATAGTCGTTCCTCACCTGCCAGGTGAGAGCCTCTAGATTTTACAGTAGCAAGACATCTCGGACAAACGAGCGAACCCAGCTACCAACCACACCCGGCAGTATCTCTCTGGCGCACCGGACCCAAAGCTTATGCCGGATAGAATGCCAAACAAAATGTCAGATAGACTGACTCTGCTAGGCAAAATGTCAGAATATATGTCAGATGATAGTCAGATATAGTCGGATAGTATGCCAATACATGTCAAATAGTCAGATAGTATGTCAGGATATGGTGGAATGTCAGAAATGTCAGAATGTATGGTGGGATCACTTCAGAAAGTAGTTAAGTTGTTTTTCCCGGTGCTTTCCCGGTTCGACCAATGCAGGCCTCGCGTGAGCCATCCGTAGCGAAACCAAATGGTGACCAATCCGAGGGATAGAAGACCAAGGAGAAGCCCAAAAGCCACCCAGCTTCGGGACTCTGTGCGGATGGATGCGGCCGATTTCTCAGCTTCGGGCAAGAGCTGCTCACCTGGCTGACAAAATGGGGAGCGGCAAACATCAAAAATCATCAAAGCTTGAAACTTTCAAAGTGCTTCAAAACGCTTTCGAATGCTCAAAGCGGTTGACCGGTTGAGCCCTGAGATTTGATGGTTTCGAATCCCTGATTCATCGCTGATTCTGAGCATTTTACGTTCTTCCGCTCTGGTGCAGCTCATCAGCAGTGACGACCCGAAACCATCAGGGCATGGCAGGCATGGTGCACATCTTCCACCGTTGCTGGTTTGAGCCAGGAATTTGTCGTGGACGTTTTTGGCGGATACTGTAGATAGGGGCTGTTTCTAAGGATCGTCGCGATAGTGATTCAAATTGGTGTAATGTGGAAGGGGTCCCCGCGATACGACCGTTTGACCTCTGCCCTATTGGTTCATTCCTCGATTTGGATCAATTTGGTATCATTGAACATAAGGCCTAAACGAATCCAAATCATAGAATTGGGCCAATCTCAGTCTTCCTCATCCTTCTAGCCGAAGGCACCCAGGCCACGATTGTGGCCTTTTGCTATCAAACCTCTCCTCTAGAGTCACCTCCGGAAATTGGATGGTCAATGCTATGATCAGCCAATCAGCAGGCTTAACTTTTCCCACAAGTGATGTGAGTCCCAGAAGACAAGCCGTGTTGTTTCTAGAAGAAGCTCCTCTGCAAGAATCTTGCCACAAGATTGATCCAAACTTGAATATATGTATATATGTATATACATACTTATATTTCAATATCATTATAATTATATATATGCATATATAATTATATAATTATATAATTGTATATCTTATATAACCCACAGCTTTAAGAGAAGCCTGCGTAAAACCATCGGATTTTACATGATTTCAGCATGCATAGCAATGCTTAGCAATGCCTAGTCGCTCCACAACACAAGCTTTTCAGCGCCGGAGTTGGTGCTACAACCGGGTGATTTAAATCTCCTGCGGAACCGCACATCTGCCACAAAAATATCGTGAAATCCACGAGATGATGGGCCATCGCCCGTGAACAGGTAAGCAATATCTAGTGCCGTTAAGTTCAGTCAAGAGATGTCAACATTGTGATGCTTCGACAGAAGTGCGGCAACAAAGCAACTGTCTCTAGCTTTAAAGGGCAGTGCCAGCAATTTGTCAAAATTCCTCAGGCTTTCAAAGCTTCACGTTTCAGCATTTCAACCTCGCAATTTTTCAGGGCCAAGCGAAGCTTTTCAAACGTCCAGCGATCTGAGTTGCAGGCTGAGCATGCTTCACAAATGGCATAGTCGCAACCTTGCAGGCTCTGCGTAGCAGCCATCAGATCCACATATTTCCGGTGCTGCTAGTAAAGCAATGCCATAAACCACCCATATGGATTAATGGTTGAAATCCCAGTCATAAAAATTGTATGCGTTTGGCCCACCTCGTCAAGTGATTGGTTAAAGAATTGAAACATATTGATGGTTAATGGTTAATGAAACATATTGGCCCAGTGGTACTGATGGTTATTGAAACCTAAAAACTACCCCAGTCATTTCATGCTTTCCATCTGGTTTCAATCCACAGTTTGTTTCGGTTTCCGGTTGATCAATACCTTCCCAAGGAAACAAGGGACGCTCGCAGTACATCAACTTGGTGCTCACTTCGATATCCGCCTCGCACACCTGGAGCGGCGCTCCGAAGTGGTGTAGGTGTTTTGTTTTTCTCATTTGATGAGTTTAAGAATACTAATAACAAAAATAATAGTCATGATTAATATAAGAAGAAGAAGAAAAGAAGAAGAAAAGAAGAGGAGCAATGGCAATCATGGGTAATATACAGTAATGACAACAACCATAATAAACGACATTAAACGACAAACATCGCGGTTGCACATCGCATTCGTAGACTTCCGCGGCCACTTCCACTGCCATGCCATGCTCTGCAGGACATCTCAACCGATCCTGAGAAGCTCCGCATAGCTCGAGGTGAGGATTCCATGGCAGGGCTGCTTGGTGGTATACCTACCCCTCTGAAAAATATGAGTTCGTCAGTTGGGATGATGACATTCCCAATAGATGGAAAGTCATAAAATTCCATGGTTCCAAACTACCATCCAGCTATGGATTGGTTTAAGGGAAAAATTACAGGAAACACCCTGGGACCCCTTTAAGACCCATATGTCATAGGAAAATCCATGGGAAAATCGATGGTTTCCTGTAGGTTTTCCCTTAAGCCAATCCATTGAATGAATGATATCCCAATTCTCCCAGACTTGAAGGGAAACGGCACTTAGTCTTCAGAAAGGTTTGGATGTGTGAAGCAATTGTTGGATATCAATCCATTGATGATATTTATCCAAAAAACAATGTGAGGAATATGTTAACCTCACAATTCGACATCGTTCGAATGAATCGCAGGTGCCAATTGAAGTGTGATTTCTCAGTTGATGACAGCTAGTCTGGAGTCCATTCCTTCGGCTGCAGCCTGTGCTGCCTGGCCAGTACGCTGCGACCAGAAAATCTCAACCTTTGGAGCCTTGAAGGCGTCCTTTCAACACTCGGGCATCACCCCCAAAAAAAGGAGAGGACTTTGCTTCGGCCAAACGGAGAGCTTGGGGTGCCGATGGTTTATCAAAGGCGCCCCAAATGTTCGTGGACCGCCCAGATCTGGCTATGAAAATCCAGTTCTTCCGTCCAAACCTTGGGGTTCAACGGCTCTGTGTATCGTGTCACCCATTACCTTCACCCTAAATCCCTGAAAATGCGGATCTAGCAATGCACACAACCTGAACGTAGGGCCCAAGAGTTCCTCAGCTGTCACCAAACCTTGCTGACTGCGATGGCCCGCCTCGTACTCGTCCACACTTACCTGGGCAGCCATGGGGCACAACATGGAAGGTGCACATATGGCTGGCTGTCAAGGTACCCATCAACTCGACCCAGAAAATATCAACAAAGCGATTATGGGTAATGAGGTACACCCAAATACACCCAATAAGAAATCATCTCAGTAACCATGTTGCATCGAGAGTGGTGCACCCAATTTCATACACCAAAAATGGGGATGGTATGGCATTTGGCCTTTAGAACTTGGGTGTAGTTCATGATGATGTTCCTGGTCTTTCGCACAGAAATCTCGAGGTCAAGTTGCCGGTTGCAGATTGTCCTCCTTAAAGAGCATATCTGCTTGAGGTCTCTCTTCCAGCCGCACCTGGCGAATGGGATGATCCTTGGGTCAAGTGCCTTCCCAAAGTAAGGCGAATTTCAATTGATGTCCCCATGCGGAAATAAAGGTGGAGCAAAACACGTAGACGTATGATCCAAGTCATCGCTTAATATGGCCAACATCGAGATTTCTGGCCTGCCATCTTCCCTTGCCTCGGATTTTTGGCCAACTGGAAGCCAACTTGCAACTACCAATCAGGTTGTTTCGAAATGGTGGAAACCCCAAGTTACGCCATTTCTGAATACCAGGAACCTGATTGAATGGATGAAATGTGTTATATCATTAACCATGGGATTTGGGGGTCATCCCCATTTTGGGCACGCATCATATGTGGGGCGATTTCGAAAATCTTTGAAGGTATTAATTGGGTGCGCGGACTCTTGTCAAAGGCGATGCAGTTCCCAATCATGCCATTCAGCTCAGGTTTTGCCTGCGAGATTTTGCCATGGGGGATTTCACCCTGGAAATCCCCATGAAATCTGGAGAAACCTCTGGTCAAATCCTGCGGGATTGGATTTAGCCATGGTTTCCCAGTTGCGGCAACGCGATGGAAAAGGCTGGAAAAGGCTGGAACGTTTATGACCCTGAGTCTCGAACGCTTGAAGCTGATTTTAAAAAAAAACACTGTTTCCGCCTCTATTTGCAAAACACACCGTTTTGCAAACAGAGCGCAGTTGTCCAGTATCTGCTGAGTAGGTATTTCAATGGTTAGCTTACCCTATATGCACATATCTATGCAAACATATGCATCTAATATAACATAATAGAACGTATTTATACATATGTGCAAATATATATATATAATGCATATGTATATACATGTGCACATAGATTAAATCCATCTATCTCTGTCTATCGATTGATCGATCTATCCGTCTGCCCATCTATATGGTGTGTTTGCGCCGGAATGTATGGGTTTTTGCTCTTGTCAACTGGGGTGCAAATCCAAAACCCACTGTCTCACCTTCAGCCCATAGAGCCGCCTGTCAGCGGAATGGGTTTTCAAATGTCAGCAATTCACCAGCCATAAACAGCCGGGAGAAACCCTGGTAAATCTCTGCAGTTTAGATCCCCAAAGGTCCCCCATCTGGAAGGAATGGCCAAGCCGTACCATTTCGGCCAAGGAACACCAGCACACCAGGCGTCAACGCTTGGGCACCACCTCGGACCATGGCCGTGAAAGCCGGTGTGGAGACATTTCCATATGATGAGGGTCAAAATTGTGCATCTTAGTGAACATAAGCCAATGGATACAAAATGATACAAATATCGCCAATATTGGTGAATATTGATTGGCGAATTATTTATCCAGTATTCGCCAATAAATAATTTAAATATCGCCGATGTTCATGGTAATCCCCCCAATGGTCCCATAGCAGCTATGACCCCTTTCCATATCAGTTTTGCAAATCAGTTTTGCAAGGTGTGATCTGAGCTTGGGACCAGCCCAGCCACCAAACATGCCGCGGCCGACACCGCGTGCACCTAGCAGTTGATCCACCGTCTTCTGGGGCGGGGCGAATAGAAATACATCATTCAGTTGGTACACGATTTCATGAACAATCACCTTCTTACTTCGCTACTACAAAAAAGGGTATATTTATGTATATTTCTACTATCAGAAAATATACTCTGAAAATAGAAAATTACATATTGGGTCAATATATATTTCTACTATTTTGATGTCAATATATATTTGATGTCAATAGAAAATAGAAATATCTATTGACATCAAATATCTATCAGGCATGTAGTTGGGAAACTCTCAGTAGCCGCTCGGCTCCCCATTTACTGCAGAATTGTTCGGGCGACCAAAAGCTCCGAGCGGCTGCCTCTTATATAACCAGCGGATAAGCAAAAATCCCAATGTACCTTGATAAAACCCCATGTTTTCTTGGTTGCAAATTATATATAGTTTACATCAAAATAAATAAACAAATAAATATATATACTATTATTATTTTTTTTTATTTATATATATATATATTATTATATATAGATATAGATATATGGATGGCATTGTGTTTAGAGTTATCAAAAATTCCATCTAAAATCCCACGAAAATCACATGACTATGTTCATCAAAACCCTGGGACCCAAATGGTGAGCTGGAATTTATAGGATCTTTCTTTCCAAAAACTGGTACCATCTGCTTATTTAACATAGCCATGGAAAATCACCATTTTGAAAGGGAAAAGTCACTATAAATGGCCATGTTGAATAGCTATGTTAAATTACCAAAGGGTAATGACATATTTTTTGACCCATACCCCCATGGGTATGGGTCTTAAAATTCAGTACCCAAATTTCAAAATTCGGATAGTTCTTTAAAAAAAAGCTAGACTTAGACGAGGCTTAGATTACTTAGTTCCCTAAGTCATGAAAATCTTGAAGATGAATCCATTTAAAAAAACATTAAATCACCATTAAATCACCATTAAATCCCATTAAACCACCATTAAACCACCATTAAATCCCCATGTTGTTTTTTTTCTTTGGTCCCATTTCAGTCCCATTTCGGTGACCGTTGAAAAAGGGGCACCTCCCAGGCCGCGGGCACCGAGCCCACCCCGACCCAACTGCCAACTCCCAAAACCTGGCAGAACCAAGGACGGATCCATGAGGGGTAGATCTAATAGTGATTTAATGGTGATTTAATGGGATTTAATGGTGATTTAATGGTGATTTAATGGGATTTAATGGTGATTTAATGGTGATTTAATGGGATTTAATGGTGATGTTTTTGTTTTTCTTTTTTCTTTGGTGATTTATCCATGAGAGGATATCGGATCCATTATACTATGGAGGTTTCGTTCGCTGGGAAAATCATCTGTTTTAATGGGCCATGGCTTCCATAGCTATGTTAAATAACCAGATGGTATATTCAATGGGGATCAAAAAGGATCCTAAAATGGAGGTACTAACTTAGTACCATATTTTGACCATATATTGTTGGGATATCCCCTGAATTTTCGGCCTGAAAAATAAGCCTTACATATGGTAGGTACCTCTAATTTAGGATCCTGAAATTCCCATTCATATATGAAATGGATATGTCCGAAATATATCACGATATATCTGAGATATATATCTGGATTATATCTGAGAAATATCTGGATTCAAATCTCATCATCATTCACTCACCTGAAGACTTCGGCCACACGACTTCGTTCTGCCGCCCAACCCCCCGTGGATGCAACCTGAAAGCGCAGCCATTTGGGGATAATTCCCTTGCTAACAGTGCCATCGCAGTGAGGTCGTCAAATTTATTCCATATCATATACCACCCATTTGGATCATTTTGGATTAACCATGATTAACCCTGCATGTCCAGTGTCAAAACCCACAGGGGCTTCCCGGTTTTCATCCACACAAAGCAGTCATCTTGTCGCTACACACCGATTTCCGGCCTCCTAAGCCTCGCCCTCGACCCCTGCCAGCCTGAGTTACGGCAATTGGGGCCCAAGAACGAAACATGAGGGGCGAACTAAGCAGGGTTGGAACCACTAAGATATTGGTGGCAAAATGGTGATGGGAACAATTATGTAAGATATTGGTTGGGGGCAAAATGGTGATGCAACTTAATGATGCAACCAAAGAAATGTACGAACAACCGAACTTCATGCATCTTTCAGGGACCCCCAATCACATGTCAATTCCATTCCTAAACCAGCGACGCAATCATGGGATACATGGGAAGCACCGATTTCAGGCGATAGTGGCACACTCACGAAGTGCTTAAAATGTCGGTCAAAAACCGGGGAACCAAAACACAGGGGTCCCAAAGCAGGGTTCAATCTTGAATGACCCTTGCGTCTTCGACCAAATCCACCGCATCTGATGCCAGAAATTGATGGTTTAAACTCCTGCAGCTGTTTGTTATCTTTTACGCCCTGGTCATTTCACACAGTTTGCTATCATAGCGAACTGGGGAATCACCATAGCTAGATAGATAGATAGATAGATGGATGGATAGATAGATGGATGGATGGATAGATAGATTGATTGATTGAATAGACAAGATAGATTAGATAGATTAGATAGATTAGATAGATTAGATAGATTAGATAGGTTAGATGAGTAGACAGAGTAGAATAGCATAGAAAAGAATAGAATAGAATAGAATAAAATAGAATAGAATAGAATAGATTAGAATAGAATAGAAGAGAAGAGAAGAGAATTAGAATAGAAGAGAATTAGAATAGAATTAGAATAGAATAAGAATAGAATAGAATAGAATAAGAATAGAATAAGAATAGAATAAGACTGTCTTTCTGCCCGAGACCGTGCATCCCTCGTGACAGCCTGCTCCCCCTACCGTACTCTCTGGTAACACAAATAAGGACTGTGGCCTGCAGCTTTCAAACAATCCTGATCCCCGGGATCCCCCGACTGGGCGCCGCACGTTCGGTCCAAGGCCCAACTCCTCAGCTGCTTCTGCCTGCCCTGCGGCACGCGCCCGGGCGCGGGCACGTTCCAAGGCCTCGAAGAAACCGGCGCAGGGTCCATGGAAACTCGCCGATGCTTTCAATGATTCAGGGAAAATCTTGGGAAATGGTATGATATGGTGGAAATTTGCCCCACTTTGGGTTTCTATTGGTTTAATTGGTGAAAATGATGAGAAACCATGGGGATGGAATGTACAGTAATAGAATGGGGGCGATGCGGGAAAACTATCATCTTAAAGAGATTTTGGGGCAGGATTCACTGGTGGCTTGGGAAAGCAAAACATTAATGCCGCGAAAACATAGGGGGGGACATCAACGAAATTGATCGGGAAAAAATGAGTGGGGGCTTGGTTCTGCCGTTCGTTTTGCTTGACCATTGAAAATATGGCGTTCCTGTCTATGTTGCTTCAAGTCCAGGAGTCGCATATAAATGAAAATGAAATAAAATAGATACAGCACAATCAACGAGGATGATAATTTCTTGCAATGGATGTGCCAAATGTGCTTTGCGAAAATGGATTCAGAATTAGCACATGAAACCAGTGGTGAGACGAGACATGGGAACTGCATGTCTTTCCTATGGATTCATCAGAAACGCAACGGCCTAAGCTTGGGACTGCAGCTTTTCTGGCTTTCTCCTGCTCAAAGGCTTGCTTAGCTCGATCCAGACCAGCTTCGGATCTGGATGTGCCGTTGGCTGCACCTCTGAAGGGTGAGCTCATTCCAGTTGATGGCACAGGCACAAACAGCTTCTCTAGTTTCAATGTCTTGGGAGGCAACCCTACGTAATCCACCTCGTGGCTGATTCATCGAGAATTGTCCAATTATGCCTTTGGTCTGCTGGAAGGCTTTGTGGAAAAATGGAACTGGAAGATTGCATACATTAGTGCCACTAGTATAGTACGTTGCATGATAGGGTCGGCGCCTGGGTAGGCATCGCTGCTCGCTCTTCTGGCCCTCTCCAAAGCAGCTGCTTTGCGCTCCTTCTCCTCCTCAAAAGCTTTCCGGGCCCTGTCAACCCCAGAGGCAGCCCGTGCCCGTTCAAGGGCAGCTGCCTTTCTTGCTTTCTCTTCCTCACTTCTGGTATCCTCTGGCTGACTTTGGCCATCCATGCGAGCGGCTCTCGCACGCTCCAGTGCCGCTTGCTTTCTGGCTTTCTCCTCCTCAAACGCTTTCCGCGCACGATCCACACCAGAATCTGCAGACACATTGTCACTCCCTTGTTCTGCCCTTGCAGCTCGGGCACGCTCCAAAGCAGCTGCCTTGCGAGCCTTTTCCTCTTCAAAGGCCTTCCTTGCTCTATCCGTTCCTGCTTCGTTGACTGCTCTTCCATCTGGTTCAGGTTGTGCTGGTTCTGCGGCAGCGGCCCTTGCAGCTCGGGCACGCTCCAAAGCAGCTGCCTTGCGAGCCTTTTCCTCTTCAAAGGCCTTTCTTGCTCTGTCGATTCCTTCCTCATTTGCTGCTCTTGCATCTGGTTCAGGTTCTGCTGGTTCTGCAGCAGCAGCCCTTGCAGCTCGGGCACGCTCCAAAGCAGCTGCTTTGCGACCCTTTTCCTCTTCAAAGGCCTTCCTTGCTCTGTCAATTCCTTCCTCATTTGATGTTCTTGCATTTGGTTCAGGGTCTGCTGGTTCTGCAGCAGCAGCCCTTGCAGCTCGGGCACGCTCCAAGGCAGCTGCTTTGCGAGCCTTCTCCTCTTCAAAGGCCTTCCTTGCTCTGTCAATTCCTTCCTCATTTGATGTTCTTGCATTTGGTTCAGGTTCTGCTGGTTCTGCAGCAGCAGCCCTTGCAGCTCGGGCACGCTCTAAAGCAGCTGCCTTGCGAGCCTTTTCCTCTTCAAAGGCCTTCCTTGCTCTGTCAATTCCTTCCTCATTTGATGTTCTTGTATCTGGTTCGGGGTCTGCTGGTTCTGCAGCAGCAGCCCTTGCAGCTCGGGCACGCTCTAAAGCAGCTGCCTTGCGAGCCTTTTCCTCTTCAAAGGCCTTTCTTGCTCTGTCGATTCCTTCCTCATTTGCTGCTCTTGCATCTGGTTCAGGTTCTGCTGGTTCTGCAGCAGCGTTCCTTGCAGCTCGGGCACGCTCCAAAGCAGCTGCCTTGCGAGCCTTTTCCTCTTCAAAGGCCTTCCTTGCTCTGTCGATTCCTTCCTCATTTGCTGCTCTTGCATCTGGTTCAGGTTCTGCTGGTTCTGCAGCAGCGGCCCTTGCAGCTCGGGCACGTTCCAAAGCAGCGGCCTTGCGAGCCTTTTCCTCTTCAAAGGCCGTCCTTGCTCTGTCGATTCCTGCTTCACTTGCTGCCTTAGCATCTGGTTCAGGTTCTGCTGGTTCTGCAGCAGCAGCCCTTGCAGCTCGGGCACGCTCCAAGGCAGCTGCCTTGCGAGCCTTTTCCTCTTCAAAGGCCTTTCTTGCTCTGTCGATTCCTTCCTCATTTGCCGCTCTTGCATCTGGTTCAGGTTCTGCTGGTTCTGCAGCAGCGGCCCTTGCAGCTCGGGCCCGCTCCAAAGCAGCAGCCTTGCGAGCCTTTTCCTCTTCAAAGGCCTTCCTTGCTCTGTCGATTCCTGCTTCACTTGCTGCCTTAGCATCTGGTTCAGGTTCTGCTGGTTCTGCAGCAGCAGCCCTTGCAGCTCGGGCACGCTCCAAGGCAGCTGCCTTGCGAGCCTTTTCCTCTTCAAAGGCCTTCCTTGCTCTGTCGATTCCTGCTTCACTTGCGGCCTTAGCGTCTGGCTGAGGTTCTGCTGGTTCTGCAGCAGCAGCCCTTGCAGCTCGGGCACGCTCCAAAGCAGCTGCCTTGCGAGCCTTTTCCTCTTCGAAGGCCTTCCTGGCTCTGTCACTCGCAGCGTCGGGTTCCTTGCCATTCGGAACAGTATGGCTATGGCCGTTAGTCTGCGGCATCAAGGTTTGCTCAGCAGTTCGAGGCTGTGAATGTTCGCTCTCCACCTCGGTGGTTATCCGGTTATCCTTATGAAGTCTGATTCGGAGACTCTTCTCTGTTTATCGTCCTCTCCCTGCCTCCTTGATCTGAGATACCGACTCGGACCCACACAGCACCATCATCCCACACCAACTTGCCATCCGTGAGAGTTCCATGGTACGTTTCGCTACCTTGGCTGCGTCGTCTGACCTTTGAAACTGAACCTCCAAGAGTTCCAAAATTTGAATGCACCCCAAATAGCAACCATGTCATCTGACTCGGACAGAAGCCAAGGCCAAGACCCATCTGAAAAGAGCATTCTGTCCTGCTGGTGATCTTGAGGTCAAGCCTACCATTCAGGCTCAGTGGGCTGAGAAGCTCACAGGGATCACATGACAAATGGAATGTGTTCTCAATCGTGTCGCAAATCCAAATATAGGGAGCTGCAGCAGTATATTTCTTCTAAGGAGCCACTATTGTAGCAGGGCACCCTACGAGAAAAAACAACCCAGTTTGGGATCTTGCAGCTTCGACACTGACCACCATCTGGGCCGTACATTCGCGAGTCCTGGAAGGAAAAGGAGAACACCACATGCCACTGCATCCGATGCAAACATTCAAATGCTGCACCCAGTGCTGCCCACTGGGTCGTCCTTGACAACCACCACCTGGGCATGGTGACATGGCCGAGCAACAGCTCAAGATCAAACTGATGTGTCCCCCAAATCCAGTCAATTGCCATGCAATTTGATGAATTCTTGGGAATTTGCCAGCCCCCAGAATGCCAAAAAAATGAACTGCCAGGTGTGCAAAGCCACAAAATAATACAAAATACACAAGATCATACAAGCTCTTCAAGAGCATACAAAAGCGGCGTGGAATGCCCTCTTGGAATCCCCTGGAATGTATCCAACATCTTGGACCATGGCTGTGCCCTCATCATCCTGCCAGGCACCAGCAAAGGCACCGTCGCGACCTCGCGTTTCGTTTCGCACACCGATACCACGATGACTCCGATGACTCCGATGACCGCCCCCTAATTCAGAATGAAATGCCTCTAGTCATGCTGCCATGCCCTAAGATCCTTAAGTTAACTTAAGTGACTTAAGTGTACTAAGAGACCCCAAAATCAATAGAGTATTGAACCACCGTTTCGACTGGGGATTCAATATGTGTCGCCGTCTTCTGGGCCCCAAACCTGCCATTTTGTTTAGCACAAAATTGCGCTCTACCCGAGGGGTGCGGCGGGTCAGCGTTCGAAGTTCAAAGTTCTTCAGCCGTTTGTTGAAACTGTCTGAACTCCTTAGATACCCTGTGGATCAATGTTCCTCCCTACTTGCACCCACCACGCTAGAGCCCAGAGTAGCGACAAGCACTAGTTGCAAGATGTTGCAAGTTGCAAATGGAACCGCAGGACTCAGGCAAAAAACAACATTCATCTATATTCATCTGACATATCTTTGCTTATATCTTTGCACATCCTTGTCTTTTTTCCCCGCGAATCTCGACTCACTCGGTCCAACGGGTCTCCTTCCCACAATGAGCTTCCAAGCACCGGAAGTGCCTCATCCGCAGCCAGAGATCAACGGCGACCACTGCTGCGATCTTCCAAGCTCCCGACGCATAGGACTTCGCACGCCTTTAGTTACAGAAGGTGAAACTGGACAAACAAAACTTAGAAATCCCTATTTGTTGGATTGGTTTCCGGGAAAATCTACGCTCAAATCCTAAAATCGAGGTACTGTACCATATAATATAAATCCATATGTTGGGGGTACATCCCCTTAAGTAGCCCTTACATAGGCCTTACATATGGTAAGTAGCTCCGATCAATCGGTTTCTGAAATGGCGATTTTCTGTCGCCCCACAATCTCCGACATGGCGACATCACGACATCACGACATCGCCAAGCAACTTGAAGTGCTGCGTTGCTCCAGAGTCACAGACCGCACCTCGGGACATAGTCATAGTGCTGATGTGCCAATAACCAATCAAGATCAATCAGATCGCGTGCCAGGCTGGGGAAAAAAATGGTGGTTCCCAAAATAAAATGATTTCGCAAATAATCCAATCGGCAAGGGGTATCAAGGGGTGATATTTGCCATGGTACCATGCATTTTAGGTGGTTGTACCATGATACCCAACCCTGCATATTTACTTACATGTTCGAGGGTTGATGGTTGATTTGCCTCTGTGGTGGAAGCCCAAGTAGTGCTGGATTTGTTTGTTTATTGTGGGGCCCTCTATTTTTCGAGGTGTGATTATCTTGGTCGTTTGGATTTTGGTTGGGTTGAATTGAGTTGGTTATTGTGATACGCCGCCAGCATTAAACCACTAAATTAATCTTTCTACACACGCATATCTGTACTGTACATACGCATCTCTCACAATATTGACAGAGAGAGAGAGAGAGATATATATATATATGTGTGTGTGTGCTACATGTTCCTGAGGGTCTCGTTTTTAAGCCTCTTAGCCATAATCTGCCTTTGTATCTAAGGGGCGTTTTTTTGACTTTTGGAGGGTTCTATCATTATAAATTATACGTAGTTATAGATGTCTTTTAGTAGGTTTGACGTCAGTTTCCTGATAAAGTTCGAAGATGTTTCAGGAGGCAAGGCTGAGCAATTAACGAGAACCTTGGTTACCGGGTGAAGCTGTGCTCATTCGCTGCTACTGCATGAAGCAGTTGCGCAAAGTATGTATCATATTTCAAATACTCTCTTCGCGTGAAGGGCTTTTCATGGCACGACGCATTTATCATGGCATGATAGGCCTAGCATCAAATGATAAGACGCATGACAAGTTTGTTTCTGGCATGATCAATTGCTGACCACAAATCCCGGATCATCTACTGCAACTACTCGCATCATGAGCTATCGTATAACAAACTACTCATCTTGTCAAAATCCTACGCTTTTAAGAGGCGTCATTCGCGGGGTAAAAGCCGTAATTTGCCGTGTAAAAGGCATAATTTGCCGTGTAAAAGGCGTAATTATGCGTAATTGGGCAACCACCCACTTTCAAAAGTTCAAGGTTTTTCGGGTATGATATGGGTCACAAACCATGGGCGTACACAACGCACACAGTGAAATTGAAAAATCCTGTTCTGAATTCTTTGACACTGGGACCATGGCTTCCCCTTCACCTTTTTTTGGCTTCATGGGTTTTCTTGTCTTAAGCAGCTTTGCCCTTTTTCATATTGCTCTGGCAACTTGCGCTAATAGCAGGCACCAACATTTGTAGCGGAATCATAACTTGGAACAAAACTACTTGGATAACTATGGGAAATCACCATTTTTTATGGGTAAATCAACTGTAAATGACCATTTTTAATAGCTATGTTTGTTTACCAGAGGGTACCATCCTTAAGGGATGATCTTCTGAAGACACTCTGCTCAAGCGAAAACAGCAAGAAAGGCGCTTTGATTTTAAGGGGCTGGTTGTAAGGGGCCAAAAATTTGGCACATGTGGGTTTTGCAGATATATATATATATGTATATATATATATATACATGTGTGTGCGTATGTATGTGCGTACGTACGTACATATATATATATACATCTCAAAGTGTCATATGAAACAGATACTGTCTCGCGCTCCCGCAGCTTTCTTTTTCCACAGCTATGCCTATGCTCAGTCAATTTCACCTGCAATCCTCAGGTTTGCTTTGGGTTGTCACGATGTGACACGTACATAGCCCCAGACCAGTTTCGCCACTGGTCAGCTGCCTGGCAACCCAGGCTGGAACCTGCTCTGCAGGAATCACCCAATGCACTCAATTCCCAAAGCACTAAAGGTATTCGAAGGTGAGAATGACAGCTGCAAAGGGTAGCTGGAACAAGATTGTAGGGAGGTACGACGAATAAAATTCAAAACCATGGCATCGCCACCATGGATCATTGACGCCAAGTCGGCTGATATCGTCAGCCCAGTTGCTCTTGCTCTGGACGTACTCCCAATATCCTTGGGCTCGCAGTGCAAACAGAGCTAGATGGATCAAATGACCTAGCTTCGCTAAGTCGGCATTGCTAGAACGTCCTCTCACTAGCGTCATGACGGCTGCTACGTTGTCCAAAAACCATAGGCCGTGTCGGTTTCGAAACAGATCAGGCCTTTCGACAAGGGCGTAGAGCACCATAGATAGTTCCAATTGGGCGATATGCGTCTCTGCAGGTTGCCAAAGTGTTCGGAGCTCTGCACAGTTGGTCGCGACAAAACTGTGACGAATTTGTGATCCGTCAGGCTGGAAAAAGATCAGATGAAAAC